GTACATCTGTTTACAGTTCTGCTTCATATGGGTGTTGAGAGAGGTATCCATAGATCTCTTCATTTTGCTCTCAAAGTGCACCAGATTGATGCATTTAACTTCAATATTTAAAAAAAATCTTCCCGGGGGAGCATCCCCCCGGACCCCCCTAGAGGAGGTGAGCCCCCCACTCATAAAAAATACCACTTTACCCCTGCCTATATGCCGTGAGCTGATTATCGAGCCTTCATTGTAACAGTCGCGGGTGTACTGTGTGTGTGCATGTGGGGAGTGTTGCAGTGAAAAATGCCACTAGTGCCGCCGCCACTGTGGGCTAAGCCCCGAATGTTTTCAGGTCCAGGCGACGCCCCTGGGAGAGACAATGCTGTTTTTCGTTTTTGGTTAATGAACATCTGAGGCTTTGTAACGCCCAGGGAATCAGTCATCTCTACTAGAATAAGATAAGTGTGCATGTTTGGGAACACTCCCGTAATGTACCTACTGTAATCTTGTTATCCTTTTCATTACAGAGCTGGGAAAATGGTGTATTGATTAGATTCTGATCCGTGCAAGTCCAATATTGACTGACACACACACACACACACACACACACACACACACACACACACACACACACACACACTGGAAATTAGTAAAAAGTTAAATAGTGCAATAAGAGTCTATATACAAGTGATTGGAATGTGATAGATTAGACACATAATTTCTAAGTAGCAGCCTGATGAATGTTATGGATGTTGTTTCAAAGTTCAGGTGTTTAATAGTTTTCTGGCCTGTGGGATGAAGCTGTCCCTGAGTCTGGTGGTTTTAGTCCGGATGCTGCGGTACCACCTGCCAGACGGCAGCAGACAAAATAAAATATACTGCTGTTTCCGGTTTAGTTTACGACGGATATATTTTGTTATTGTTTTGATATTTGTAACACAAAAGCGATGGAAAAAACCCACAGCAACACAGAAAAGATGGTCTTAACATGACCCAGCGGTCTAGTAGTTAATAAAAAACAATAATATCAAAACAAAAATATTACTACTAACTTTATTTGGGAAATTAAAACAGAACGGTAAAAGAATACTTTCAGGTCTATTCTGAAGCCCGATCTCTGTAGATAAATAAAGAACTACGACAGATGTGTAATATTTAATGCAGCCGAACCATTTATTACAATGCATTCATGTGATGACTTTCAAAGAGTAAAGCAAGCACTGCTGAATAAAGTATGATTTTATCTTTTATGAAACGTTTTTTTTCATATGGAATGCAGTTGGAGGTCAACCAATCACAGAGCTTGAGAACTAATCACAGGGTCTGTCAAACAAAGCACATGGTGTAGTCCCAAACGACAGCTGAGGATTCTGGGTAGTGTAGTGTCTTCTGCCATCCTAAACTCCGAAAAAATATTTGTTTCTCCGAATCGAAGGGGAAAAACACAAAAGCATTGCACACAATTTAAACCAATCAATGTTGTGTAATTAACAAGGATAATCTTGTGTTTTTGAGTTGATGAGTAGTGCAGATATCACTGTAAAATCAATCGACAGTAAGGAGAATAGTTACTTCCGGGTGTAAAATCCTCCGTGATCCAATGGGAATGGACGCTCACATTGCCTTTAAACAGCCGCCGACATGGACCGATGCGGTGCTTCCATGAGCGTCAAATACCGCCGCCGATGGGAATACATTGCAATCAGTTGAAAGCTCTTTGCGTCTGTTTATGAAGCTGAAAGAGCCTCGGCGCGTCCCAACTGCACGCCACGGGACCCTGACCAAGCGTCGCTCCTGGACGTTTAGGGAGTGAGAGTGTGTTGGTTTAAGGCAAAAAATAATGTTTTACCAGGAAACATCCAAAAAGTATTCACTCAACGAGTGGGGGGATATAGTTCAAGGAGACCATTTCAATATGAAATTCATAGGGTCCGTACAACCAGAAGAACATTTTGTATCTCAGCCGGTGCAGTGAGACTATGGAACAGTGTGAATGTGGAGCTAAAGCGATGTCCAGACATTAACCAGTTCAAGAGGAAATACAGAAAAATTATCTTCTTGAGGTACAGGGATGGGGAGGGTGTTTGACTATATGTATGTGTATATGTGTATATCAGAGTTCCCGTTAGCCGGTAATTACCGGACAATGACCGGTAAAATATGCTGAAGTCCGGCAAATCTAAATCTCTCCGGTCAAAATGTCCGGTCAAAATAATTTTCCCTTAGCGCAATACCGCATCAGTTGCGCCACTTATGTGACAGACAAGAATAGTATGTGACAGACAAAAGAGTATGTGACAGACAAAAATTGTCAATTCTAATGTCTAACACTTAATGTGGAGAAAGAGATGTCCTGTATGGGTTGATTGTGCGTTGATCTGTTGGTAATGCCTCGGGGTTCCGGTGGGCATGTAAACAAATGCATAATGCTGCGCTATACTTTGTGGCCTCATCCGGTTGCATAGCGACGCTTATTGTTTAGGTGTCTTTTAACAAGCAGGTAGTCATATCATTAGCTAGAACTAGCTAGATCTGATCGATATGGACATAAATGCGAGTAAAGTCTAATCTGACAGGAGAGAGAGATCGGCTGCTGCTGACGAGTCGACACGCAGCTCTGCATGATCCCCTGCAGCGGCGAGCAGAGCAAAACACACTTCAGGTTAGAAAATCACACGTAGCTATTTTAATTACCTCTCAAACTACCTAAACTAGTTATAGATATGTTTAGTTTTACTGTCGGGTCACTCATTACTGGATCCGCGAGCTGCATGATACTGACGGGCTGTCAGGAGAAGGAGAGAGCGCTCCGTTTATTATTCCCGCGTTTTTGTAAATTACTGTACACTTTTGAATAATGTAGTTAATCTACTATAATTAGTTTGTTTAATGTCGAATCATATCAATTTGTTTTAAAGCTCAATAAATAACAAAGAAGACCTTTAACCGGCACTTATCTAATTTTGTCCGGAAGATTTCAACTTTAACGGACATGTTGACCGGCAAAAAAATATTCTAACGGGAACTCTGGTGTATATGTGTATATGTGTATGTGTGTGTATGTATATGTGTATATGTATGTGTATATATGTATATATGTGTATGTGTGTGTATGTATGTGTGTATATATATATGTGTATATGTATATATGTCAATCAACAAGTAAAGCAGATTAATAATAATAATCTCCCTTGCGGAGCTCATCATTTTTGGACAAGAAGTTTCTGCTCATGATTCTGCAACAAAAAGAAAGTCAGTGTTATATCCCTTTAAAACACTGAAAATGCTTGGAAAACACAAGTTTTGTGAGTTGGTTTGCCTATTATATTTGTATTACCACCAGTGATTTGTATTCACTGAAGAGTAGTTATTTTTCCCCTTACATTAGTCCATACCAACATAAATAATTTCAGCAGAACAATTTAACCAATAAAGAACTCCATTATGCATCAAACTATTCTTGCACAGTAATATTATGAACCTATCTATTATAATAAAAGTATAGAATACTCACAGTGTTGTGTTGTTTTCTCTTCAGTCAGACTGCAAGCAGAGGAAAAGGAGTGAAGTGCCAGAGAGTGAAATTCACCCAATATTTATACATCTATTCTGGAGGGGGGGGAGAAGGTGGGCTAGAGAGGGAGTGCTAGGCCTTTCCTTTTCTCATGATACCTGAATGTTCCTGTCAGCTTGAAATATGTTGGGGTTTTATGACCAAAAACAAGATTTGTGAAGGGTTATTGATGGCTGTGAGAAGACGTCTGACATTTGTGATTGACACCTTCAATGAAAGTTCATGAACAAGAAAGTGCCCCAGGAACTTTACTATTCTGTAAAAGTAGTAGAGTCATTTTCAACATGCAAATAAGGTGACGACCATGCATGAGCTTGACATGCCATAATTATAAGATACCTCAGAAAGCTCATAACTCAGCCTAAAGGATTCCATCATTGTCGTTATTCAGGAAGGATTTGGCAGACTTCTCATAAAGAGGAAAAGTCACCTCCTCATTCACTTTTACCTTAGTGAGGAGGTGTGGTTGAACAGGTTACTAGCTATGTGACTTTCTTTAGTGAAATCTTATCATAATCATTCAATCAAACTCTTGTTTTTCCTTCATCTAGCATATTTCCAAAACAACAAAGTGATAAATTAGAAGGTTCTAAATCGTTTACACATTTAAAAACAAGTCAAACCTTGAATTGGATCCTGAAATCAACAGAAAGCCAGTGCAAAGAAGCAAGAACAGGACTAATGTGGGCACGCCATTTATTTATGGTACTACCTGTAAAAGGCTAATTGATGACTGGTCAAGAACAACAAATAAGGAGTTGCAGTAGTCCAAATGAGACGTATAACAGTCTCAAAGGCATTTTGAACAGAACTCTAATCAAAGAGAACATTTTTAAATTAGCCCATTCTGCGTTTCCCCTTTCCTATATAGTTTTGATGCATGTACTGTAAGTGCTCTGCAAAGGCTACAATCCCCAAAGTTGCCTCTAGAGGGAGTTTCCATCCCACACCATTAGGTAAATGTTCTATGAAGACTAAAAGTATTTGATTCAACTGGCATAATATTTGTTGGCCACTATCTTCATCATTTGAAAACCTTGTATGCAGTTACAACCTCCATGTAAATGCATACATGGAGGTTGAGATAAAGGCATTGTTGTCCTTTCCTTTACAGATGGCAAACATTTACTATAGTATTTCTCCATTTATTTTATATTTCCAACACTAAGACCTGGTACCAGTCTGCTAGATTGTCAAGCTGTTTATTTCACAGTCGAGGTGCATTTTCATGTTGAGGTTGGAATTCCCCCGGTGTCATTTTTGACTATTAAACGACTCCAATTTCAACTTATCTTTTATTGTTTGAGTTAAACGAACACTGTGTATCTATTCAATATGACACATTTTCACCCGTGTGTCAATAAAAGAGTTGTTCAGTCACATGGAACTGAGATGTATAGACACACTGATCATTCTCACTACAAAGAGAAGGAAACACTCATTATGCATTGTGAACAAAAATGCTTTTATTTGATCCCAGGTTACACAACAGGTATGTTTACTGGTAACTCAAATTGACCTCCAAACATGACTTTCACATACGTCTTGAGTCACTTCATGCCAGTGGATTTATCAGAGTTCCAGACTTCAATACAATCCTTGTTCACCACCAGTTTGCCGTCATCGGTCAGCTGCAGGCGGCACAAGTTACAGTCAGATTTGTGAGTGTTTGTGTGCCACATGGCTTTAGCATCCTTGTCGTACATGACCAGGTTGCAGTCATCCTGCATGATCAGGCGGAAAGGGTCTGACCCTGCAGTGTCTGCAGCCCAGACAGCCTTCCAGCCATAGACCACAAAGTTACCATCTCCCTGCAGGCAGAAACAGAGACGTTTGGCGGTTAACTGTGCTATTGTAAAACACTTGTTCTGATATTTTTACTTTTGCACATGTATCATGCACCCATAAGCATCTGTGCACAAATATCCACTCGCCTGGAAGACAGCCTTAAACTCTCCGTTGTTGGACACCAGAGAGTCTCCCCTACGAAGCTCATCACCTTTGGAAAGGTAGTTCCTGCTCATGATTCTGCCACAAAAAGAAAGACTGTGTTATATATGCAACCCATATATACATTAAAAAAATAATGAAATGCTTTGAAACCACACGTTTTGTGAGTAGGTTTGCATTCTAATTTCTGCATGAATAAATGCTTTTTACCCAACAGTAGATCTTTTCCACACTAGGTAATCCCCATATTAACAGACTTAATTTCAACACAAACCAGTAAATATCAACATCTCCTTTATGCATCAAACGTTTCTTGCATAGTATTGCATGAACCCTTAATAAATAAAAGTATAGAATACTCACAGAGTTGTATGGTTTTTCGCCCCAGTCCGATTTCAAGCAGAGGAAAAGGAGTGAAGTGCCTGACGGTGGAATCACCCCGCTTTTATACACCTAGCGAGGGTGGGAAGAAAAGGTGGAGCAGAGATGGAATGCTATGCCCTTTGTTTATTCCATAAAAAGCTGAATGATACTGCCAATTTAAAAAAAAAGTTTCAATAAAAAATGGGGGAAATAATCCAATAAAATGCCCGAGGGTGTTTGATTATCTGTGATAGTGTGAGCATGCATGAGCTTGACATTAAGCTCTCATAATAACAGGCTGCGGAAAGATGGGATAAGAAATTTGGCAGTGCTTTTTTATAACCATTTCAATTTGATAACAACCAGGTGGGAGCCTTGTTTTGTATTGACTCCCTCCACTTCCCACGCTATTTGAATTTTGTATAGTAGCAGGAATGCAAAATACACAAGTACAGGCAGGTCAGTGCTGAGCAGACAGAAGAGCAGAGAATAAACCGTGCAATAAATAGAAATGAAGTTGATTAAAAGTTGAGAACAAGCATAAAACAAAGAAGTCTCTATTAATTAAGACATGGTATCGTTTTGCATACTATTATATTTTAAGCCATATTTAAAATAAAGGAGCCAATACAACATGTTTGAAAACACAGGCCATTTTGTGCAGTAGCACTAGCCTTTTAATGTGCGGATAGTTCCAATCTTTACCATGATCTAGTTTTAACAACAAAGGGAAATTCTTAGAAAAGAAAAAAGAGTATTTTGTACTTTTATTCTTTCATTCAAGAAAACGAGTGTTTAGCATTTTTATTTTTTAATATAAGCATCTGTTGTTGCTATGGGAATGTTAGATTATACAGTTTTATTTTTTATTTTGTTTTTATTGAAATGTTTTATACTTTATAATACTGAAGAAATCAAAACTATGAAAGAACACATATGGAATTATCTAGTTAACAAAAAAGTGTTAAAAAATACAGAATATGATTTTTATTTTATATTCTTCAAAGTAGCCCCGTTTTGCCTTGATGACAGCTTTGCACACTCTTGGCTTCTCTCGGTCAGCTTCATGAGGTCGTCACCTGGAATGGTTTTCGATTGACACGTGTGCCTTGTCAAGAGTCAATTTGTGGAATGACTTGCCTTCTTAATGTGTTTGAGACCATCAGTTGTGCAGAGGTAGGGTTAGTGCACACTGGAAAGCCCTATTTGAATACTGTTGTTGTAATCCATATTATGGCAAGAACGACTCAACTCAGTAAAGAGAAACGACCGTCCATCATCGCTTTAAGAAATGAAGGCCAGTCGATCCGGAAAATGTCAAGAACTTTGAATTTATCCTCAAGTGCAGTCGCAAAAACCTTTGTGAGACGCAGAGAAGGTGAGCGGATGGTTTGTGTGGTTCCACCGTGAAACATGGAGGAGGAAGTGTGATGGTGACACTGTTGGTGATTTATTCAAAATTCAAGGCACACTTAACCAGCATGGCTACCACAGCATTCTGCAGTAGCCAGCAAGATGTAAATCATATTCTGGATTTTTTAACACTTTTTGTTTACTAGGTAATTCCATATGTGTTCTTTTATAGTTTTGATGTCTTCAGTATAAATCTACAATGTAGAATTTTTTTTAATAAATTAAAAACTTTGAAGGTGTGTCCAAACTTTTGACTGGTACTGTATGTGAAATTGTTAAACAGAGTATAAAAAGGATGTTTTAAATTATCCATTTTTTGTCAAAGTTTTGAGTGAACATTTAATCGGATGGCATCCCAGATGATGTGTGAAGATCTAAGGGAAATGTCTTTAGCTGCTGCTAGTTCAGGTGCTAACAGACTGTTGAAGGGAAGTCATTGTTCACTCAATAGTTGGAAATAACAACAACGCAAACTATCAAAACAGAAATCTACCGAAATCAACTTTATGTTTTAGGCATGTTCCTGCGATGATAAGGAGCACAACTCTCACAGTATAATAATTGCTTGTTGTTTCACGTGGATAACAATGTTGAGAAACTCAGCCTGGGGAGGAATCAGCATCTCTCAAGTCCACACTCATCTCAGATTCATGCAAATATTTTTTTATTTTTTTATTACACAATGTTATACTTGCATACATACAGTGATTCTACAAGCAAAGAAGGATTGTTCAGAGTAGAGAATTGTCTGTGTGTGTATTATACGTGAAGCCTGTAAGAGACATCTCCAGCATTGAGAATAACAATAGGCATTTCAAAGTGACTTCACTATGTAAAATAAGCATGCAACATCTTCTTTTCTTAGCCAGTAGAGGCCAACAGCGTAGGGGCTCCGCTGTTGTAACTCATTTTTTTGCAGTGCTCTGTCCTCGTTGTCCTCATTTCCTAAAACAAAAGAATAGTCACTTCAGGTATGATCTTTAGAAAGCAACACCTATCATCACCTGGTTTCATTGTGAACAGTGTCAATTATTTAATTAAACGTGCAAGATATCAATGAGTACAGTAAAATAAATCTCCCTTGTTCATACATGGGGCCTACATTACCCACAATGCAACACGGGACATGAGTCATACCTCTGTGAGTCTCGGTTTCTGGATGCAGTGAACATACGGCCTTGGGCTCGTCTCTATCTGGTCGGCAGCTGTTTTGTAGCAAACTGCGCAGTCCATCAAGGGCTGTGAAGTCATTCAAAGAAAAAGCATCAGGATGCTGTACAAACATACGCAAGTAATGTTTCTCCCATTGAATTACACTCACTCTGTCATTTCGGAAGGCGCAAATCTGGGAGGTCGACTCAATTGTCCCTTTGGCACACTTGGTGGGTTTCAGGTAAAAGTGGTGGTAGAGGTATCTCACTCCAAATCCAGCCTGCAAGAGAGCACAGGGTCATTTATTATATTACCATGGCCATTGGAGGACTTCACCAAAGGTCTCAGGATTCATCCTCTGAGGACCATGAATGTTCATTCCAGATTTCATAGCAATCCATGCCGTAATTGTAAATGTCATAGGACCACTCTTCTAACAGGCTGTGATAAAGTAAATAACTTAATGTATAGTTAATTTGCCCTTTTTTAAAGTAGCTACTGAAGTAAGCCTACTCGCCCTTTCCATCCATTTCCCAATGGATGTGAAAACCTCTTGAACTAGCTATCTGATAACTACACCTATTGTTGGTTTAATTTGAGTACTTCATAATTTGAAGGTAAAGCAAAAACTATTTTGTAACCATTTCACTTAATTCCACTATCAAAGCTTCACAAGCTTGTCGAAAAGGCAGATGAAAGACACCTTCAATTTCTCCTTCGCCTTTTAGAGCCAACAGTCTACTTATGGTGTGTTCATAGACCTGGGCTAGGAGTGATAAGAGTGACTGTGATAACTTAAGCCCTTTTGACACACACCTTGTTAACCCAGCATTAAGCTAACCCTACTCCAGGTCCCAGGCTAATGTTGGGGTTAGCCCACTTTGAAATGGGCTAGGATTGGGCTTAGATATCAGTTTAAACCATCTGATTGCTTAACTGATAATCTTTTAGGAGTTGAGGAGTTAAAACATGTTTACAGCCGTCTCATATTTCAGCAGGCAGTCTTTCAACAGAAAAGTAACAACCGAAACCATTCAATAACAAAATCATAATGCCATTTCCTCTTGATAACTCTCAGAATAACATTCCATTAAAGCTACACCTTATTTTTTGTCAAAACCCAACCCCTGACATTTGAAGATTCCCAGCCCACTTTACTTGAGCAGAAGTCAAAACAAGAATGAACCAGAATTCCCTGAAGGCAGAAGGAGTGCCAAAGTCTTAAATCTGATCTGAGAAGTAAAGGAAACTGAATTTAAAACTGAATTTCAGGCATTTTCTTACTTTTTTTATAGAACTACAACTGTGTATCTGTGAGGCTTTAATAAGATACTTTTGGGAGAATATTTCCCCAAAATCTCCTATCCAATCACTTCCCAATAATTGTATATCTATATCATAAACTAAGAAGTTAGGTTTACCTGGATATCTGACTTCTCCAGACTTCTCAAGAAGCGAAAATGGTGGTGCACCCCAGCATGGGTGTTGAGTTGCTCTAAGGCTAGATCCACTCCCTGCTTGTAGTCCTCAGGCAGCCCATTATAAGTGTCCTGGGCCTTGGAAGAGTACACCAAAGCTCCGGCACAAAACAGCAACAGCAACACAGCAGCCATTTTCCTCCAAGTGTGTGAGGAGAGCAGCTCGGCTCAAAGGGTGAACACCCTCCTCTCTCTGCGGGATCAATACACCCAGGCAAAACAAGTCCTATTATGGCAGTATGAGGAACAAGATGAACCCAGTACTCGGACCATCAAGATGCCTGCTGCACAGACTGTTTACGTTTTATCTCCAAATTCCCGTAACACCCCAGGGGAGACAGATTTATGCTTGTTTCAACAAAACACACTCACTGGGGAGTTTCTTGAGAAGAAACTGTTTACCAGAATTGGGATTACACTCATATCCTGGAAACGTATTACAATAGAGACTTGGATTAGTTATCTCATTTCACAAAACGAAGCCACATTTCCATGAAAATGCTTTGGCCCCTGGAGGAATACAAAGGTCAGCAGTGACCAGTGAACTCTTTAGGCTCTGCTTCAGCAAGTCTTTTGTTGCATTTACAGGAAAGTAGGTCACTTACTATAACTGTGGTGGTTTCTTTCTTTTTAAATGAACTAAGCAGTGATTAATCATCACCACTATTGGGTAATTAAATCATTTGTTCTTAACTTCATTTTTTTCCTCCTGTTTTCGGTCTTTGTATTGAATTTGTTAACAATAAGAAAAGTATAGAACAACTATATCCCATGAAATACTGACCTTAGTTAAATAAGTAGCCCATTCATAATAGTTTACAAACTGAAAATAACTTTTGATTGATGAGAAATGTAACTCTATTGACAGGTTTGTTCATCAAATTGCTTACTTTTTACAGTTAATGCCTGTAGAGTTGGGGCTCCAATTCTGTTACCCATCATGTTTACCTGCCATACAAAACATAAAGTGGAAATGAGTCGAAAAGCTCAGAAACTATTTCAAATACTTATGTTGGATTTGTGCAGTGTGGTTTGACATTTACAAAGGTTATCTAAAAGTGCTCTTCAAGTAAGCAGACGTATCTCATGTTAAGGCTTGTTTGTGGACACGGTGAAAATACTTTTTTTGGCTCCAGTTCAATTTTTCTTTGAATGTTTTGTTACAGCCGTGGCAAAAAGCCCAGATGAGTCAGAGCAGGCCCTCTCCTTTGGAATCCACATTACTGAGTTTAGTAAATAATCAAAACTAGATTATTTCTGTACCGACATGCTCTGGTGTTCCTTTTGAACAGTTTCTGGCTTTAAGGTAGAAGTGGTAGTAGTTGTAGGTCACATCATCATCAGACTGAAGAAAACAAAGAAAAATAGGAGTTCTGTGCAACCGCCCTGGGGGGTTTCTCTGATGAAATGTTCCCATTCTTTGACGATTAGATGTGATCTTGAGAATTTGACTCACAGTGAAAATCCAGCAAACATAAGCCACAACAAAAGATACACATTGACAATGAAAAGTATTTTAGCATGGTGGAAAAACAGAACAAATACATCTAGAAGAGCACTATGCCATGTCTCACAATTTTAATGAAAATATGACTTAATTTGTTGTAATATATTGTATAATTCAACAGTGTGTGCAACATTATAAACCAAAAGAGAAAACTGATGGGAAAAACAACTCAATGGAATGTGACAAGGGGCCCCACTTATTTGTTGTTTTTCATTCAAATGATTTCTTTTAGATTAGATTCAGCATTTGATTTAGTAAACCACACTCTTCTGACACTGTCCACAGACTACAGTATATAAAGTGTGGGTCTCTCTGGCACAAGTGTTTTACATCTTACCTCACAGTAGAGATTTGTTTTGTTGGACTAGGTAAACACCATGAAAAATCCACAACTGTGGCGCACAACAAGGCTCGATCCTGGGCCCAGTCCTTTTCAGGCTATCTGGATGTGTCATTAGGGTGTATGGATACATTTTCACTTTGGTTGTTGATACTTTTCTCTATACTGATTTGTAAACAAGGCCTTCTCCCTTAGAAAAAAAAGACACTAAAACTGTACACACTGAAAACAGGTTTCACAAATGAAACTTTATTGACAATTTGATTACACAAAAACACAGAAAATGTAATTCTAACATATTTCAAAAGAAGGAATCAATAAATCAAAGACACAAAACAAATTAAATAAACATACTTCTAAAATAGTGTGCTTTATGAAAAAAATATAGCTAAAAGAAAATCTAACAGTTGTCTCAATAGATCAGAACTAAATGAGTCATTTGAATAATTAATCGGTTCCAGTTGATGCTAGCAGAGTTGGGGCTCCACTGCTGTAGCCCATTGTGTTGCAGTGATTTAATCTGGTCGTCTTCATGTCCTGCAATTCAGAACAAAAAAAGATAAAATCTCAACTTCAAGAAATGATATTTTCTTTTTGCAGTGTATTTTGTATCAGCAAAGGCAATAGTGTCCGTCAGGTAGGCAGACTAACCTCTGTAAGGGCCGGTTTGTGGACACAGTGAACATATGGTTTGGGCTCCTGTTCAATTTCTTCTCTAAATGTTTTGTAACAGACGGCACAGTCTATCAGCGGCTGCATGAATGCACACAAAGAAAACAGCACAGACAAGTTAGAGCAGGCAGTCACCGATAAACACATTTCACTCATTACATTTCAGTAAACCAGACAACACTTACTCTATCATTTCTGAATTGACACGCTGTGGAGTCAACCGTTCCTTTGTGACACTTTGTGGCTTTAAGGTAAAAGTGGTGGTAGACATATGTCACTTCAAAACCAGGCTGAAGAGAAAAAGAGGAGGATAAGCTTCGAGCAATTTTAAACAACCCCAAGGCGTGTTCTCCAATACATTCTGTGCATTCATTGTAAATTAGGCTTTCTCTTGAAGACTGTTCTCACAGTAAATCACAGAAGAAAACAATGAACAAAGAACACTCAATGTCAGTACATACTGTACCTCAATGTCTGACTTTGTGATACTTCTGAAGAAGAGAAAATGGTGCTGGATTCCAGCATGAGAGACCAGCTTCTCCAGGGCTAGATCCACTCCTTTCTTGTAGTTTTCAGGAAGTTTTTCATAAGCCCCCTGTGCGTTAGAGGAAAAGAACAAGACCCCAGAGCTGACGAGCAGCAGCAAAAACGCAGCCATTCTTTTTCCTTTGTCTGTAACGATGGGATTGAGGGGATAGTGCAGCGGCACACCCACTCTACACAGTTTCACTGAACAGGAAAGAACATCCAGCCCTCTTTTCCCTGAGGATCTGGAAAAACAGATCCTCAGAAGCTACTACTTATTTTTTAAGCTTCAACCGTCTGTATTTGATAGTGTCGATTCACAGCAGATTTCAACATGACTATTTTTGTATGGTGACCCTGAAAGATCAATGCACTGCAAAACACATACAAATAGACAAAACAAAGTGAAGAAAACACTTTCACCCATCTCACAACACTTGGGGGAAAGAAGTACTGAAAACGGAGAAAATGCAACCAAATACAGAAACACTAAAAGTCACCTACTGAATAACACCATTTTCTGTGTTCTATTTTGTTTTGTCCATTTGCATGTGTTTTTCTGACATACTGAACATAGAAAACACAACAGAAACAACAGCCAGGATAAATAGAAAATACGTTTTATTTGTCATCAATATTTTAACCATGAATGTACAACAGAAATTCAGCAATAGCCTCTGGGACTTGGTATTGCTTTTGAAATGGAACAACACATCGTATCAGCATTTCACGACTTCCACAGAAACGTTGGCATACACAGACCAACTTCACTCAATCCACAGGCACAGTAAGCAAAAATAAAACCGACACTGCCTAGTTCTCATTAACCCTTCAGTGTCCACGGCCATGATGCAGCCAAATGGGAGTTTGAATTTTAAAAAAAAAAGAAGAAAACTGTTAAATGTGACAAATAAACCTTCAAAAGCAGCAATAATGTGTCATTGTGCAACGGATAAATAATGGAGAGATGTTTGATTTATGAGCATCTCAAAGTGCAAACTAATGTAACATGCGTGTCGTCCTTACAAAAGGAACAGACACTTGTATCTGATCACTTCATGGTCCCTCAGGCACTTGAGATTTTGCACCTTTGTGACACCAAACCAGCAGAAGTTCACGACACCCTAACCATCTGAGATGGGACAGTAGTGTCTGAAATACACACTCGAGAGTAACAGAGGACTGAAAATGTAAGTTATTTGACACAGTCAAAGCTTTAACCAATCCATGTCACACTGATACAACATGACATAAAACAAAAAAAGACATATATATATATTTTTAAAAGCCTTCCCTCTCAGTAATGCATGGATATTGAGATTGTCTACACAGCTTGGGTGGAAATTTGGTCGACCGAGTTCATTTGAGTGTGAATGAAATGTTAAATTGTGAGAAAATAAGGAATGTTACGCTATGAAATGTGGTTAATTTAGGCTGAAACTGTGAGATGGCTGGACTGCAGCTTATTGTTCTGATCACAAAACTATTTACACAAGACATTTGGCACTTGGACAAAGAAACCAATAAATTACAGTGATTCCCAAAAACACCCAAAGAGAAAACAAATTCTACATTAATTCATTAGTGCCCTTAACATGTGCGTAGAGACATTTAGAGTATATTTATTATGCCACTGTGTTAGTTTTCTGTTATTATCACATGATTTCATGTCATCATCTCCCTCTGCTGGTAATCTTACCTCACTGCAGGTCCATTCAATCCTAACTGTCATCTAAACTGCTGCTTTTGAGTAAAACAAAAGATTGTGGAAGAAGGACAGGCTTAAAATCAATCACAGATAGTTGTTTAGGAAGAAAACTAAAGCCACATAGATATTTAAAGGATTCAAGAGGACGTGGAGATACAAGTGATTACATAAAATACAGTCATTGTTCAGATTTGGTTTTTTAAAAAGTGCTACGAGCTTCAGGAGGCGAGTAAAGTGATAAACTGTCTGAAATGAGACAGAATGAGGAAAAGATAACTCTCAGTATACCTTTTTATTTCCTTCTTAAGGCGCTTGGTGAGCTTCAAACATGAAAAAAAGCGACAAACTTGAATAGCGATGACTCAACGTGTGAATATAAAAGAATGTATCCCATATATCCTCCACATATTCAATGTGAATCAGAGAAACCTTTCAGGGCTAAAATTAATCAGTCTTGCAAATCTATCTACTGTAATAGCATATAATTTGAGCTCGAGATAATTCGATTTAGAATCTCTTGTCCCCTGAAATATATATATATATTTAAAAGTATAGTATGAGTGAACACATGTTGATTTTTTGATCTCCTCAGTTGGGTTTCAATTAGTGCCGTTAACCAGCAGATAGTCCCCAACAATCTGATAAAAAAAACTACTTAAATAAGTTGAACCAAGTCGTCAGACATACTGAATGTTGAAAAGTCTTAGTGATGATGAAGAGGGTGCACAGTGATGAGTGTTTCAAGTGTTGATACCAGGCCTTGCTGCGGGTTACACAGGCATGTGCATCTCCGAGTACTCATCGTGACAGTCGCGCTCGTCAAACTTGGGCTCTGCGTCGTCGGCGTCCAGCTGGAAGAGCGAGGAGAGACATGCATCAGGTTTCCCCATCACACATTGTATTTAAAAAAAACACATTTTAATGCAGAAATGTTCTAAAGTATTACGCTTGCTATGAGGCATGAATATATTATGTTCCTTGGTGACATTTGTGATGAAGTCTATTCAATTTCCTAGAATGCCTCAGAAAAATATGACAAAGTAAAAAGAGCATTTTACATTTTAAGTTGTAGTAGTGGAAATGTATCAGTGTTTTCATGTTTTTGGTTAATAATGCACTTTTGTTGCATTCAAAAGCAGTGCAAACACTTCACAGCTTCAGCTGATAAAAAAGAGGGCTTTAGATTGTATTCAATTTAAATGATTTGACTTACTGTGAGGAACTTGTGTGGTTAACCAATATGATATGTTAAACATATACAAATAAGATCACATGTAAAAGACAGCTTTCAAAGAAATATATATCTATAAAACCAACTTGCAGCAAAACATGCCAGTTCACAATAATTACAAATTAAATAGATATAAAAAAAAGAAATTAGATCTGTAGGCAAATAAAGTGAACGAACAAATAACTTATTCCTACTTTCAAATAATCTTTGTAATTAAATTATTCAGGAGTTTGCAGGTGCTGCAGGTGAGGTTGGGATAATGGTGTATTCATAATCATATTGCGCCCTCCTGTGGTCAACTTACACATGCGATCTCTCTGCTGGTGAAGATGCGGCGCAGCACGAACATCTTCACAGGGATGGTGAGGATGAGGACGAAGGGGAAGGCCAGGGACGCCTGGGTGGACATGACAGCCCACAGAGCCGCCAAACACACCACCTGGATGCAGGTGAACAGATGCATGCGCAGCGTACGCACCTGGAGGAAACAGAGAAGATCGATAAACCACTCACCAGACTGGCAAAATGATTGTCGGTTGTTGTTGGAAATGTATGTTGAATAAGAACTAAATAAGCCTGAATAAGAACTAAAGCGCGTTCTTACCTTGCGGACGTAGGTGTGGTCCGGGTGATACTTTGGTGGCATGAGCAGCAGCATCATCCGCTCTGTAAGCTGGATCCCATTAAGGGACATCACCCCCATGTAGAGGAAGATCCCAAACAGCACCGCCAGGGGGATCTGACGCAGCAGGTCCCCGATCACAATAGACATACCTGTGGGAGGAAGTAACGGGAGATAACTTGCTAGACCTTTTCCTCCATTTCCAAATAGATTTCTGTTTTTAATTGGAGAGAATGAGATGTCACACTCACCAACCATGATGGCCACCAGGAGCCCGGTGACCCTCTGCTCCTTCACCTCCTGGATGCGCGGCTTGTCTCCGGGGGCGACGGCCTTGCTCATGACAGTGAGGGCGTTGACGTGGGTCACCGAGCGGACGGTGGCCGCAGCCATCCACGGCAGGCCGAACAGAGCCGAGCTGCCGCCCAGCACCACGATCAGCAGCAGGTCCAGATGGAAGCCAGAACCCTTCACCAGCATGCGCTCCTTCTTACTCACGATCAGACTGCAGGGAGTGGGGGGGGGGGGGGGGGGGGGGAGTAAGGTTGAAATGAGAATGTACTCATAGCACACAGCTGCATCCATTGATTTTACTGTCAGAGCATGCGAGTTCTTTGTGATACATGCCTTCTAATCATCCTTCTTTTTATACATATGAAATTCATAGATTCAAAAATTCTCATCCAGAGTGATACTGATAAAAGCAAATACCAATGTTGATGATTTTCTCGACATGTACTGTATTTAATGCTTCAATATTAGAGGAGGGTGACTTGGTGCTGTGGGTATAAGGCATATCTTCAATATAAAATGTATTTAGTTAGAAACTTGAAGACTCGGAAAGTTAGAGCAATGTTTACTGAGGCAGCTCAATGTAACAGTTGTAATAAGGTATCAACAGTTTGATAAAGAATCCTGAAATGATATTAAATAAACCTTATAACGTGTGATTCCTGCACTTCATACTCCCTTTTTATGTAGGAAAGGTCCTATAAATAAAGTATATTTATATCACTGTTTTCTAATAATCTGGTAATTGCAACAATATGATACTATCAAATCTTAATATAAAATCCTGTTCAAAACAAACAGACTCTTAAGATGTCTTTATGGGACACAAGGATGTGATAACTGACTGATAATCCTCCTTGATGGGACTTGTAACTCACGTAGTGATCTGAGTCTCCATGAAGATGAGGATGAAGACGAGCAGAGCGGGCAGACAGCAGGCGAACATCATCCAGATGGGGAATTCCCCGTTGGACCCCAGAGGGCTGATGATCCAGCCACGCTTCGAGGGGCTGGTCACAGAGAAACCATTGGGAACGCTCAGTTTCTGGAATGAGTGGGACAGGGAAATGAATGTCTGGGTTGTGAATCTTTATCAGCCAAAGGTCAAGCATTTACATTAGACATGAGTTCTTACCTGTGTGTATGTGTCGTTTAGACTGTAATCCACAAGGACCATGATGAGGATGGCAATTGGGACGCCAAAATCTCCAATCATCCTGCGCAACTGAAACCCACAAAATGCGGTAATATGAGCACTGGCACCTGGCAGCTTCTTATATCATACCACACATAGATTTTTATATAACAATCATAATCAAAACATTTGTAACAGTGTGTGATTTTTCAATGACAACTTCAACAAAAATACACAAATTAGAGATTGGAAGTTTGGACATAAATCTGAAAGCAATAGTTAAAAAAACAGAAGGAAATTGTGCGATATGATCTAGAAAAGCTAAGAGGTGAATCTGTTTTGTCAAATGATGTCCCACAATCAGGTGGGCTTTTAACACAACATAAACAAGTTTTGAAGAAAATATCAAAAATGAAACCACCCTCATGTCTCTCTGTCAGATATAACGAGGGGCAAACCCATGCATAATCATGTGATACAACCCAAAGCTCCAGAACAGCTTGAATGGACCTTTTGGTAACATTTGAACAACTAGAGCATTTTAGATTGGCTCAAATTATTCTTAATTGAAAATATTTCATTGAATAGGATGACTATTCTGACTCTAAAGAGGTTTTAATGCAATAATTGGCTTCACAGATTGTGAAAACATATATGGATCCTTGATATATGATGATAAGAGGTTTAAGGAAGGTTAAATATATATGTCAGTTAATGCTGCAGGACAGTTTTAAAGTGAAGTAAGCTCCTCACCCTGCCAGGGAAAAAGGCACTGTTCTTGAACTTCCTCAGGTAGAAGGCGATGAAGAATGTTCCGGCCATGAGGACCAGAGAGAGCAGCGCAGTGTTGGGTTCCCCTCGGACACCCACTGTCATCGGCAGCGTGCTGTTGCCCTGGACGACTGTGATATTTTCTACCATTGAGTCCCATTCTGTGCCGTTGTTGAGGGAGCAACGTTTAAGGGGGTGCTCTTTGAAAATCTGTCAGAAAGCACAGAGGGTTATAATTAAAGCACAACATTTTACAACAGAACACACACAAATATAATCGTCTATCCCTTTTTAAAGGTAACAACACTTTGTGGAAAATTGGATTATCCCAGACGCCTTTCATGTCTGTGCCATAAACTCTAAAATAGCAAACCTTCGAAAATCATAAACTGGGATAATAGTCAAAGTCTTAATCCATTTAACTTTCAGGGACAATCAATCACAAAAGCTTTCAGGAGCCTTTGTTAGAACAACATACTGGTTTCAACCTCGAGCTTTGAATACTGTCCAAGATTAGTCTGTTCAGTTTAGTGTCAGGGACGTGAGCTCAGCTGGCCAACAAAAACGTTTTGTAAACAGGAGTTTTTATTTCAGGTCTCAGGCGTACCCTGCCAAGCTTGATGAAGGTCTCGCAGATGAAGATGAGGGAAATGAGGAAGGAGAAGATCTCCTGGGTGAAGCGGGAGACGAAGCGGACCAGGAAGCTTCCCTCAAAGGCCACCGTGACGATCACGATGACGATGAGCCAGAACCCGATCCAGACGCGGCCCGTCAGGTACTCCATCTCGTTCGCTTTGCAGAACTGTCAGGACAAAGACCAAAGAAACTCAATTCATCCACTGGAAAATGTTCAGAGTAGCCATAGACACTTGAATGTAAGGCATTAAACATCTTTTCTGTTACACCACTGTTGGAATAGTACTTATTTTTTTGTTTTGTTTTGCCTGAGTCTAGCTTTAGAGAAATAGTTAAAAATTGTATTTGCTATTCAACAACTTACACTATAAAATGCTTCTTCGAAAACCAGCAGGGGTCCCGAGAAACCCACAACGAGTAGCGGCTGCGCTCCGAGCAGGCAGAAGAGCACACCCTGCACTGCGGTGGACACAATCAGCTCAGAAACACCAATCAGACCGTCCGTCTTCTCACCTAGTAACAGACACACACAGCAAAGGAAGACTTTAATGAACACCAACGAGGTTTAAGCCTGTGACCCATCAAGACACAAGCATGAAAGATGTTTGACACATGAGAAGATGAACTGTGAATAACTCGTGCTTTCACACTCACCCAGTAGGCCTCCGAATGTTATGGCTGGAGAGAGAGCAGCAAAGTAGATAAAGAATACGGCGGCCATGCACTGACTGTTCAGAGCGTCCTTGAAGTCGCTGAGGTACTTTGGGTAACGGCGACGCACGTCCCGTATCAGCCCGCCGAAAGGCCGCCCGGTGCGCTTCAAAGGGTCGTCTGACTTTTTGAAGGGTGTGAGGAGGGCCTCTGTGATGGGAAAGAGTGGGTTATTAATTACGATATAAGCAAACGAATCTCCTTTGATAAAGGCCACAATATTTGAGGAGATGCTTACCTTTATCTTCCATGCTTTTAGGTTCCTTGGTCAGTTTGACCCCCTGCTCCTCCCTCTTGCGCAGCATCTCCCTCTGGAAGCGAGCGACTGAGCGCAGCAGCTCATCGCCTCCCATCTCTGAAGGCGGCAGCACGATGCTGCAGTCCAGGAAGCTGTTGATGGCGTTCAGCAGGTCCTGCCGGTCGTCTGCAAGGTAGGCTGCCTCGTGGAATTGCTGGATGACGATTCATGATATAAACAAATAGAACCAATAAAATAAGCAAAAAGGTGGACCTATATTTCTGCTTATTTCCAGTTTGCAGGTCTGTTTTTAAGTTTATTTGGCAACAATCCATTCGATTCTTTTACTTTTCTACCAAGTAAGGTGGCAAACTTGCTGATAAAATTACATTTCAAAGCTCTCGAGAAAGTTAATCATTATTGATAACTCAAAACAGCAGGTGTTGGAGGTGAAAGACAATACAAGTTGATGCTTCAGTGGAATGATCAAGTCTTTATAAGATAATATGCTAAATTACAGGGTAGAAGGTTCGGCATTTGTACCAGGAAGTGTATAGTGTGAGCTTTTTATTGTACCTGAATTTAAATAAATAATTACATATAATTAGATTTTCTTCTCAATAATAGGGTGATTTGTGGTTTGTCAGATTTTATGTAGGTGAGATTTCATTGTCATATGTGATTGGGGTTGGTATCTAAACAATGTCTACACCTCACCTTGTCGGACATGAGTGTGGAGATGGAGCGTCCGATCTGGTGATAGTCCATGCTGGTGGTTGCGGGTCCCAACAGGACGAACAGAAACCTGACCGGCACGGGGACCTCCAGGACGGACTCCAGCTCCACGGCCTCCTGCAGCCGCACAAACGCCATGGTGGGCTGCTCAAGGAAGTCCACACTACCTAAAGGACAGCGGGAAGTAACAGTTAACATACACACAGAAACAGTCAGAATATTTTAACTGGAAGGAGTTCGGAGGAGATAACTCACCCACAAGGACAACAGTGGCCTCAGCATTTTCAGGAATCTTCTCCAGCAGCTTGAGCTCATGTTTGGATTTGGAGCGATGCATACCAGACACCACAGACGGCTCCTTCTGTGGTAAACCAAAAGCAATACAAGAAGCAAAGTCAGGATAATGAAGAAAAATGTTAACTGTGACTTTATTGAGAAAACACTTCGGACCTACCTCGTTTTTGTCCATGTCAATGCGTGTCTCTGAGTCCCCCGTTGGGACGGTGCCCATGAGCGGGTCGGTCACTGAAGGATCTGTCTGGTGGGAGTGGTTGGCGCTGTGGTGATGTGGGATGAGACTACCCAGGCTGGCCGCCGAGATGTTCCTGGGGAAAGGGCTGCTGTGCTCCTTCTCATCGCTCGGGTGACTAGGGGAGGCAGGGAGAGGAAGAGAGAGGAAGAAAGAGGGTGAGCCGGAGGAACAAAGGAAGTGACCACGCGTGAAGCCACCTAGCAGCAGGAAGTTGTGCAGCAGTGAGGGAGAAAGGAAAGTATCCTCATCACTAAAAGTATGAACTAGTACTAGCTTTGGAAGGCAATATTTAGTTTGTGTTAACATGCTACTATATTAAATAAAAACATCCGTAAGTCATGTACACTTAAACCTCTACGTCCATTGTTTCATTTGATCCCTGTTTCTCCCAAACATTTCCTTTCTGTGTTTCAAATGACACAAAAGGGGGAAACAAATAAAACATTTAGCAAAATGACCATCATATACAGGTGTAGCTACTAGAAAAAGCCAGGCATAAAACACAACTTTGCACATCCATCAATGTAGCTGGAAATCACCTCACTGGGTTAGTTTTATCATCTTAAAAAGGGAAATCCTGTGCTTGTTTGTTGCAGTCTGGTGCTTTAGGTCACCTGTGTTTCAGCAGCAGGGCCCTCAGGACATTGGCCCGGTCCTCAGCTTTGATCTGGTCAGAAATAATCATCTTCTCCACCACCTGATGGGCGATGCCAGGCAGGGTCTTTTGGTCCAGGTCCAGCAGCACTGCACCTGTGGATGCACACACACTGGGCTAAGTACTTTGTGAACTGCCTCACACTGACTCTCAGGCTTTGAAAATGTCCACAGTTAACTTTTCTTTGTTCCCTTACCGTGTGAGATTGTCTTTCGGAGCTCCAGCAAACTGCGGAAGGACAGCGAGGCCACGTGAGGTTTCCCCCAGCGGTCCGTCTCCTCCTCCACGTCTTCCTCAAACTTGATCCATCGAGCCGTTTCCTTCCACGACATCTCCTGGTTCTTATCCATAGTCAGCTCATTCAGCTCCACAAACACCTGGGGACAACATCACACGGGAACACATGCAGCAGTAGATGAGATTCACAATATCCATATTGTCCATGGAAGAAACAGCATGCGCCTTAACACTTCAACTTTATAGCCAAGGCACTTCTTTATTGAGCCAGTTGATACAAACGTGTTTAAGTGGTGGAAACAAAATCATAGATCCATGCTTACCGGTTTGTTTAAATTCACCCAACACACGTAAGTAAACCCTGTCTATGTTATTATCCTAGATGTTCAACAAAAAAAACAAAGAGAACGGCCAATGAAAAAAGTCAGAGGAGAGACCGTCATCTTCAGTTCACTCTGCATCCAATATCTGTAACTAATTGAACACCATGCGGGTCAGTCAACATTCCCTGTGAGATGAAGACCAAACCACTGAAAAACCCTGAAATTATTTTCTCCTGCCGCATGCTTGTGAAATCACGCTCACACGGATCAAAACTGACGCTGGCCGGTCACCCAGCCTCACCTTCTGGTAGCGAGCCATTTTACCGGAGTCCATCATGTCCAGCAGGGCGCCTTTTTGCCCCGAGGCGGAGTGATACAGAACCACTGGTATCGGCTGGAGGAGCGAGACGGTGCAGGAGAGGACTCAAACACTTATACAGCCGGCACAGAGGAGGGGACCCTCACACTTTTACAGACAAACCCACAGGTAACTCTTCTTAGTCACACACACACCTGACAGGCACCTGTTGTTTACCCGAGGCTACTGGAGGCTGAGAGCAAGTATGAGAATGTGTGTGTGTGTTAATAAAACATGTCTCTCTCTCTCTCTCTCTCTCAGGAGCTCTGGTTACCTAAGCTTCTCTCTCCCTTCTTTTTTCTTTTCCGTGTGTGAAAGGAAAGAACTCATTCATTCATTTTTAATTGTCTTCTTTCCTCCCTGTTCAATCCACAAAGAGACAAGGCAGTGCTAAATTTGAGAGAGGAAAAGAAGGGAACATTTTTCCCAGGACTACAATTTTGTGCAATTTTTGGGGCAACAAAGCCTGAAGTATAATCATCTTTGAGCAGCTGCCGAGTTAAAAATCTGTCATTTTCAGACCAAATAAGGTTTCATCTATAGAACTGCAGCTTTGACATACTAGTTATTTTCCTAGGGTAAAGTTATCATTGGCAGCATCAGAAAACATATTCTTGTATTCCTAGTCTATACCATACAAGGAGGATTTGAACAGTTATTTTAACAAAACAAGCAGTTTTAAAACACCAACATCTAAATTGTAATGAGAATGAACATTTTATAAATCAGGAGCTTCAGTCCAAATTATAATGTATTTTATTTCTTTAAGAGTTTTTTTGTGTTGGTTGTTGTTCCAGGAAAGGAGCACTTGTCCACTTTATTATCTTAACATTTAATAAATTAATTGCAAAATAGGTGACAGTTCCGTTGAGTAAAAAAAACATTAAATATTTGTACCTTACTAATGTTATTTTTTTGGGGCTCAACTCTCGTTAACGTAAGGATAATGGTTGTGTCTTTAATGTTAGCTAAACGTAAATGTTCTATCGCAGTCCTTTATCTATTTTTGATACAGATACGTTATTTAAATGCCAAAATAAATATAGATTCTTGTGAGGCTGAAAAGCAGAGGATGGATGAAAACAGAGTACTGTGATGTCTCACCTCATGCGGGGTCCGGTCCTTCTTACTGCTGCGAGTGGTGGGTTCTTTGTGGTCCTTGCCGGTGTGCACCACTTGACCCTTGGTGTTCTTTCTGACCAGGTGTCTGCGCACGCCGGGAACATCTTCAAAACGATGACCTGGTGGAGAAGAAGAGACTGGTGAGTTGTGTGAAAGATTAAGAATCAGATGTTACTTTTGACTTCAGACACTCTCGGAAAACATCTTGACCAAAAAACAAACAGTGTATGCAATTCAATTGAAATAATATCCATTGAAATTAGACCCCAGCACAGCACATAGGCTGAAAAATGATTCCCTATGTGCTGTGCTTCTGGAGACCTTGGCATGCACGCATTAACCTTGCAACAGGTCACATAGGGCCAGGCCTCCATGCTTTTGTTTGTCTGTGGTCCCTCAGCGGGGAGTAAAGTTACTCAGGCTGGCAGCACAGCAGGCAGTGAAAAGGATGTGGAGAGAGACACCGGATGGCACTCACACAACACTAGGAATAGGAATGGTTGAATCAGGTTTAGAGAGTTCAAAGATCAAAACACTTGATTGATTCATTCAATGAGAACAGGACAATTAGTGAAAGCTAGGCAGAATATTATTTTAAAAATTGTAAAACCACATTGAGCACCGTAACTTCTCTCTCAAAAATCTTTCATTGTCAACAACCTTCAAGAATGCCTTACCTTTGTCAGAGCGTGTATGTCCTATGAAACAAATAGTGATGCTTTTAGGGTTCCTCATCAATGTTTCAACTCGTATGTAAAACCAGCAAGTCATTCCAAGTTCAGAACCTGTATTAGATATAGACTATCAGATTTGAACTTGCTTATTGTAGCTTTACCGAGATGGTCCCTTGTCAAGTCGCTCCATGATGTCTGAGTTCTTGGGCAGCCCCTGGTGTTAAAATAACATTCTACCTGGCATGCTGCTTTTGAAGTTTTGTGGTGGGCGTAGGGTTAGAGCTGGCACTGCTGTCTGACTACGTGCCACCTTCAAACTGGAGCACCCATCTTGCAAGTTTTGACAAATTGGGAAACTATGCAATTTCTTGACCGGCGCCTGACCCCGCTGAAACTATCAGAATGCATCAGCGAGCAGAGGTGTTAATTCGCTCAGGTCGGACAAAAGGGGAAGGACAGTGATCTAATAATTCCTATTGTTGAGCAGTAGCCAGAGGCACAGACACTTTCCCAGGATGATTTACAGTAGCGGGAAGAAGATAACAGCAGACAAAGACAAAGAATATCTGGCGATGAACCTGTCGGGGGGCTCTACTCTGTGTCACTGAGCCCCACAATGAGCAAATAGGATCATGGATAACCTTCTAACCTGGAGAGGCTAATCGTTCTACAGCCAGCTGTAAGCATCACCCCCATTACAACATGTACAATAAACACAATACAAAGACCACTATTTAATACTGAAGAAGCCAATGGCAGCAGGGACAAAACTATCCTTACATTTAGTTATTGGTAGATTATAGTGAGCCTTCTTTAAAGACATGTACAGTCGTGAAAGGTCATTCAGGTTCGTGCCAGCAATTGTAATTCACGCATATCTGAGTAATATTAAGCGTATAACTCAACATCAACAGACTTCATTTAAGCTTAACTCGTCCCTTTGTTTCATTCTGCTAACGATAAAGGGTGTGAACTGAGATGCAGGTTTCACAATTAGCCACCGTGTTGGCTCTGGCCTGGGTCCAGGGGCCTCAGCTGACAGTAATAATGTGGGCCTGTCTGCTACACTCTCTGATAAGCTGCTGCTTGCTGCTGAGGGGTCAACTCCCTGACGTAAATCTCTCCGGCCCCAGCGTGAGGCGGTTTTTAGGGCCGGGAGATTTACGTCACAGGGCAGCAGGGAGCCACTGCAATGTAGAAGGGACTAGAGGTGCCCCCCCCCCCATTCCCTCGCCCTGATGTTGCTGCAGGAATCTGAGCAGCAACACATCTAAGATTGATCTGCCTGAAGTAGATCATACAAGAGAGCCCTAAGATGAACAATAATGTGTAATTTAATTGTTTGAATACAGAAAATAACAGTTTACCTGTACCTCCTACTTTTTTTTAATATTGACCAACAACAATAATATTTAAAATTGAAACACGCAATCATTTGTGGGGAAAAAAAGGAAATACAAGACTGGCATATTATCACTTATAACAAAGTTAATTTCACTGTTGCCATTACTACAAGCGACTCCTTACACATACAGATAGCTATATGACCCATTGTTTATATGAAAATATGATTGTGATTACGATAATATATATTGTATTTCTTCTCAACACAACAAAGAGCTTTAATCAGGAATAATAACCCCACAAAAGAGATCTAGCTTTAGGGGTATTTCATATGGCGGTGACCTTTGTATTCTACCAATTGTCCTTCTAACAGGTAAAGGTATGCACTTAAAACCAAATACTTAATTTAAATAGTCAATACATGTCTGTTTTAGCCACCTGGTGCACCAAAGTCCAGCGGGCAGAAGCTCTTTTTAGAACAAAAGTTTAATTCAAGTTTGAATCGATCTGTACTCACTCTTGATGCCGTCCAGGTCAGCGGAGGCCAGCGTCTGAGCCTCGCTCTCGTCGGTCGGGATGCGCTGGTATTTGGCCTGCTCGGCCCCAGTCATGTTGCCTGTGCACCGGCGATCCTGCAGGTCGTAGCTGCGGCTGGAGGTGGACACCCGGGCCAGAGGTATGCTTTCAGGGGGCACCAACTCGGGAGAGGGGCTGGAGGCGGCGGATGAGGCTGGCTTACTAGATAAAAGCAGAAAAACAGGACACTTTATTACTAACTTATTGCCTCTGAACCATAAAAAAATATCTTCGACTGCTCTCATTGTATTGATGATTTGCTTGTCACACCAATGATATCTTGTGACTTTGGTAATCATCTTTTGATTGATGTATTAGACCCCACTAATGGTAGTCCTATAAAAAAGAAATATAATTTGCATCTCTTAGCCAAAAATATAATTAGCTAGCTAGTTAGCTTTTTAAATCCTTCAAAGAGGCAGATAAAGGTGTTCGGCTAATGCAAATTCCTTCAAGGCACTTTTGAAATAAACATAATGAACTCACCTTCCTTTAAATGTCAGTTGCCTGCATCATTTCAAGACAATAAAAAATGACCTTTTGAGTCTATTATTTACCCCTTATTTTAAGATGTTTTACAAAACAAATCCGCTGTTATTAGGGTGTTCCTCCCTCGACTGCAAACTAGCAAAAGGTGTATATACGCAGCTCTCTCCCTGCTCAGATTAGACCCTCATGAGGTGGAACAGTAAATGTCACGGATGGAGCCTCGGGCTGCTGAGGTGTGCTGTTGTCTAAAGCAACAGGTGATATATGGGTCTCTGAGGAGAGGATTACTCGAGTCTATCGGATCATGCACAGCAGGCCCACTGGATGCCTGAGACATGGTTACGTACAGTGTGTACTCACTGGCCAATCAACATGAGCCTGAGCCATCTCGCCCAATCAGAACGTCCCCAATACATTTCAGCAACATGGCAAAAACATGCAATCATCACAGCGGGTAAAGCATGATTATATAGTCTCTCACGCCTCCTTTTTCAAGTCCAAGAACTAGACTCACTCTGAGGAAGATGCATCTTCAGTATCAGCTCCCACCCCAGATTGCGGCACGATCTCCAGCTCACGGGCAGAGTGGGGGCTCTCTTTGCCTCGTTTGGAAACTTGGTCTTCATCAGAAAGAAAGAACTGTTGAGGAAAAACAGAACGTAAGAATAAAAACAAACAATGACCACAACTTTACCCCAAATTGCTCCTGTGGGTATTATCCACAGTATTGAATGTATTACATGTCTTATAAGTAACATGTAATATAATGTAATGTAAAGTGCTTTGAGCACTAGGAAAAGCGGTAAATAAATACTGTGAATTATTATTATTATTCATCTCAAGGAAATAAAACTACTGCATCTATCCTGGGAGGGCTTCACAGCATTAAACAATTGATGGACATAGAAACAATATATTGTATAATGTATGTGATGGGATAAGAGAGCAACAACAAGGCTGCTTTTTTAAGTAACAAATAAAAAGAAAATACAGTGACAGATACAGTCAAAACAGATAAACGTATCAAGCTAAATTAGAGTCAAAAAACGTATCCGAATCATGTTCTGCACACTCTGCGGGGGTGCATAGTTTTCATTTTGTGAAGCATAATAACAACCCAACCTGAAACCCACTGATGAATGATTAAGACTATACTGAAATATTCATATAGGAAAATATGGTAATGTTAATACAGTGTGTGAGCAGGTTGGGCATGAACTGTGGCCATTGACAGCAGCACATTCCTGAGCTCATTAACTTCACATCTTAATGTAAATCACATCGGACATTAAAGGTCACCTTGCTCTCCTTTATTGACTGATACTCTCATTTTAATGAGACAGTATGAGATCAAATGATCAATCTCGATTTGCTGTTTATGCATAAGCTATCAAAATACTTTTTACATGAAGTCCTAGTTTTTGTATAAACATGAAACACAACATAAGCCCATACACAAATACTGCCTGATACATATTTAGTAAAGGTATAATGCTGAATCCAGCCCTTGGAGATATTTTTCCATCAAAGTTGAGTATGAAGTAGAATGATTACCTCCACATCTTTCACTCTCTCCGTCTCAGATGGACCAGAAGCCTCTGTCCCGTCATCCTCCTCTTCCTCTTCATCCTCTCCCTCCTCTATGGGGCCGCTGCTGGGAGCATGGCTGCTTTTGTGATCTTTGTCCTTCCTCCTTTTTTTGTTGCTCTTCTTCCTGCGTCCCTCGGAGGGCAGTTTGGACAGAGGTCTGTGGATGTGGTGCGAGGAGTGACGGTGGTCTGAGGGAAGGTGAAGCAGAGATCCATAGACATGAGCTACTTTCATACGAAAACAGTTATTTGTCACAATGCCCCGGCTAAAGGGATCACTATGGGCTTACATTCAATGTCCTCCTCATGGTAGTTGTGGTGCTGTTCATCAGGCACAGCAGCAGCGGGGCTGAGGATCTGCTCGAAGCGCTGGACCCCCAACGCTTTGTTCAGGTCCCCATCATCCTCCTCTTCAGGGCGCGGAGTGTGTAGTGATGAGGTAGAAGGAGCGGCAGAAGGAGCGTCTGGCTGCAACAAAACACATATTTTAGATACAAATCTTGAATAAAAATCTGTCAGCTGTTCAGCATTTTTAGATTGAGAAATATATTTACTAACAGCACATTAATACAAAGAATTAATACACAATTAACAAACACATTAGCAAACCATACATTTGTGAAATATTCTAGTATTTTTAATATGTCATCCTGCTTTTTTTAACAATAAAAGTTCACTGCAGGTCATTGTTATTTCAATTTAGCACTTTATTTCTCATAAGTCAGTTTAAGTCATTTAGATTTAGTACTCTTTACTGTTGATCTGTCCCAATTTCTTACTGTAGTATACTATACACTGTCTTTATAGTGTTCTGTTTTTGCAGTTATTATACAAGATTATACTGCCAACTAAACCTTAAAAGGCCAGCAAAATATTTTTCTTTTAGATCAATATTTATTGTTGTCTTCTTGGGTATTTCTCGAACCGTTTTGTCCTCATTTATTTTTAATGTGTTGCAGCTGTGATACGCTCTAAATCTTCCTTTGTGCATTTCACTGTGGAGAATCGTGTCCATCAACAGTACACTGAAAACTGTAATAGTTTTGTATTTTGCACACAGATATTGGCAACTCATAACCTGCTATGTAGTAAGGATTTGGAACACAGCATGTATTGCTTTTCACTTAAACCAACACTAGAGGGAGTTCTGGTTCTGCAAATACTGCACCGTCAGACATCATGTGAGTCCTGTCATGCATACCTTCCTGAAAATGTGCCCTAAATTGAAAACAATAGCCATGTGCTCTGATCTGTTACTCTTTTTCATAGCTGTGGGTGATAGGGATCTGTTTGGTTGCAGCGGGACGTCGTGCCATGCTGCGCCCCGCTCTGCCGGTGGGATGTTGTGATAAGGTTTGCCTGCAGTGACACAGCGAGAGGATCTGCTATGGCTAACAGGATCGGGCTGTAGCCACCTCACGCAAGAGTAAATGTTGCCATGACTACTGCGCAGGTGCCTCATTTCCTGCTGTGAACCCTTCCCGTGGCAAAACTCAGGGGCTGCAGGTTATCTGATGCTCCAATAAATGGTTCTCAGGACATCCAGCATGTCAATTATATATTACATTATCTCCATGGCAGCAGGGAGTAACAGAAAGCCTGTGAAGACTCCCCTCACACCTGCAGCTCTTACTTTTGTCTCACACTGTGTATGCACAGAAGACTGCTAACAAAGTACAAAAACACATAGTAATATATGCAAAAATTACATATAGTTGTTTGACATAGATTTTTTATCAATGTGGGTAAAGTAAATGTAACTTAGAATTGATTATATCCATGTTGTAATTTTTTGAATTCACAATATTTCAGGGTGACATTGTCCTTTTTCTCAATACATTTATCTGATAGCAATAATTCATCTTTAGCTTTAAGATTAAGACAGATTTAATAATATCATCAAATTCAACGCACTGGTAAAATTGCCAACCAGGAGCTATTTTCAAGAACCAGAACCAGTACAAATGAAATTGCCTGATTATACTTCTGAGTTTTGAATGCAGAACTTTTACTTGAGACAGTAAAAGTTCTGCATTATAAGTTTATTATTATAAACTTATAATAATTTTGTACTGTGGTATCTTTTCATTTTCGACTCTAAAACAAACTTGTTTCCAACACTGGACATGTGTTTTCAAACTGTGCCACAAACTGTAACGAGACTAGATCTAGAAATAATATAGTAACAAGGCGAGTTCACTCTTCACTTCAACTTAAATCAACTCATCACATACAGAACAAGAACTGGTAGGTGTTACACGCATGATGTGGATCAGCCCTGAAACATTGTTTGTCACACTTTTATCACATCAAACGCAAACATGGTAACTGAAGCGCTCTTTAGCAATTTATCTTATTTATAGCTTGGTGGACCTACATGAATTCAGGCATGTCCGGAGAAAGCGTGAAAAACAGATTCCCATGACTCGCATAACCGTGCCAACGTTTACTCTGACCTGGTTGTACATGCCACATACATGTGACAGAAACAGAAAGCCCTGCGCTGACCTGAAGACAAACTGAGACTTATGAGTAAAAAGAGGAGGACAGCACACATTCAATATTTACCCAAGGTTCAATTCCTCATATAGCATGTTTTCCCTTGACAGATCAACAACAGTGTCAAAGAAAAGAGCAAAAAACAAACTATGCGTTCACCTCAGCGACCTCCTGAACAAACTGCCAAAGACAATCCAGGACTTTAAAGCATCAATACCACGAACATTTAAATGGAAAATGTGGGTATTTTGAAACATAAATGTAATCAAAGAAAATAGAATAGACAAACATGATTGAGTTGCAGCTGTTTAACAATGTTGGCATCAGCAACAGTTCCATTAAAACATCAAGAAAACGTTGCATTTTTGCAAATAGGCATCAGCCTGCGTCTCCGTCACTATCTCAATACTTCCAAAATTCAATTAGATGACCGATTCCAAAAAAACCTTCTGTACACATATTCTATCCAGATATGTGCTGCTACACTATCCGGGAGTTTATTTTTACAGAGCTCTCATTCATATCATGGTTTCACAGTGAATCCCTAGAGGTCGGAGAGATGTGTGAGGGATTCTCAAAGAGGTGGGAGAATTTTCCACAACCGAAACCATGTGCGAAGACAAGCCGAGGGGGAGCCCAGTGAAAACAAAAATGAGAGTTAAGAGTTGTGAGGACTTACCTCGCTCATGGCAACGTTAGCTTAGTTAACGTTTGATGGCAACAAGTGTCAGTGCGCTCAAACATGACAAAACTGGAGCTCTGAATCAAGTCACCTCTATTAAGAGCTGCAAGCAGGAGACATCCCTCTCTCCCCGCTTATCAAAGCCGCGTGATGCCCTAATCAGAGCCCTATCGGCCAACCTGCCACCTTCCCCAGTCTGCCCATTGTACGTAGGCAGAATAAACAAGACTCTCATTCTCGCTTTGAGGACAAATGCTGCTTGAAAGGACAAGCCGTGTTTGAACAGCCAAGAACAAAACCCAACGTTGACATTCATCTCCACATTCTTACTTTGACACATGAAGCCTAAATATTGACCACGGTGCTCTTAGTCAATGTGCCTTGAAGGGCAATGTAAATGCATAGGAAATCTAACAATTTTCAAAGGATGCATTTTTCATGGATTATTGACGTATGACATTTGAGATTAAAATGTTGTGTGTGCCAGAAAGGTGAAACCACAAATCACTACATTCTACATGACAAATGATGGAAAAAAAACCTTTGTGGATGACGATTTGACCAGTGAATAAAACCACTTAACTTAGTAATTCATTTATATTGAATGCATAATGTATTAACCAAATGAAAACTGGTGTCTTTTTATGGGAAGTTCTATTGCATTAATGCAGGCATGTTGATGACATCTATCAACAAAGAGCATTTTCATCATTCTCGATCAAATTCTCAATCAAAGTGCCACTTATTTTGTATTTGCAATCAATAGGATCTCAATAAAACTCAATAATTTGAATTTATGTTCACTTTAGGGAATTAGCAGGGCAGGAAGCCTATCCATTGCACTTATCCAAAGAAACCATTATTAGAACTCCAATTTACCTGTGTGTATTCATTTCATTGTAAACTATTATGAATTATGCAAGGCAGGGTAAATATTATAAGGATAGAAGATGATGCTGAAGATTAGAATAGAGCAGTAAAGTAATGGTATATTTTCCATTTTCACTTAAACTAAAAGCCAAATATTGTAAGACTTGAGGATATTCCAGTTCCATGCTAGCAGATTTGTGAGGATGTACTTCAGTAGAGCAAAGCTTTGACTTAAAGCTAATGCCATGCTCAAAATACTAACTTGCTGATTAAAATAAAATAATGTTAACCTTGTTTGTCAGCTTGGTTAAGAGTGTCAACATGCTCATTTATCCCAAGGGGCATATTAATGTCCGTACTACATTTCTTGGCAATCCATCCAATAGTTGTTGAGAAATGTCAGCTTGGGCTTAAGTGGAAAAGTTTAACACAAATGACTCATAGCAGGCAGTGGAAGTAGTCTCGACAGACAAACAAAGGAAATGTTTTAGTTTGTATTGTAAATGTATCTAAATGTAGTGCTGTGTTAAAAAAAAAAAAGAAGCTACCTAAAGAGGTCATCTTGTAAATCAATAGAGTTTTTGAAAGAAGTGTGTTGTGTACTGTGTGTGTTGTGCACTGGTTGTGTTGTGTAATGAGGTGGACACTTGACCATGTGTTGAGGCTGCAGAGCAGATTATCTGTGCTGTGAGGTAGGCTCAAATCCCACACAGTCAGCACTTGGAGGGGAAGGGGGGGATAGCTGCGGATGTTGTAGAGTGTCATGCCGTTTGGCTGATGAGTCATTGCATTCCTTTTATATGTTAACATGAGTCTGGACCGAGACCCGGGGGCGCAAATGCTCCGTTTCTGATTATTCTAGGAAAGCATGTTGAGTTGTAACCCAGTTTTGTCCTCAGCCAACTTTTTGTGATTTTGTGTTATGCAAGCACTACTTTTCTATTACATCATAGTTTTAAAAAGGCATGTATGCTAGGCTTGAATCAAATGCAAATGTTTAAATCATAAACTCTATAGTCAAGACATCCTCCAGACAGTCAGAGAGCAGAAAATAAATACGTCTCCTACTCTTTTGGTTGGCTTCCTGTCTGATGATACCGTTTTATTATATTTGTCTGGGGACTTTTGCTTTTAGTCATCAGCTTTATCATTTCATATGGTGCAAACAAACATGGTTTTCAGTAGCAAAACACTGAAAGATCATTTGCCTGAGATAATGTTCTCACAACTCAGCTTTATCTTAGTTGAAGATATCCAACTGATAAACTCTGAGTCTGTTGAGCGAGGGGGATTCAGCAGGGGCTGTAAGGTGGATATCAGAGGAAGTCTATGAAGTAACAACACTAAAGAGAGGAGGGGGTGTGAATAGCACTGTACTGACCCTTCTGATGGCTCTCTCCACACAGCAACTCCCTCAGAGTCACTGATACGGTGGCCTTAAAATGTCAGAGTTCATTATTGCAGTAAATAGAATGAGGCTATGAGATGATGACAGAAAGTTTTGGTGCATGTCTTGACCTAGAACAGTAGCTCCCCACCTGAAGGTTAGGACCTACCATAGGGGAAAGATTATCAGGACAAACAACAAAAACGCACGTTCATACGTTGGTTAGATTAATACTATCAGGCCTCAACATTTTAAAAAGAAAATATTTGTGAGAGGAGAATCTCTTTGTTTGAACTGCCCAAGTTAAAACAATAGTGAGGGGTCACTTGCAGTTTTTACATTTTAAATGTTTTCAATTTTTCAGGAAATATGCCTATTCTTATTCCTGCCAAGTTAAATCAGAATATAAACACTGCTTTCATGGTAGTATGAAGCTTCCAGCAGCAGCTAACTAGCTTAGCATAAAGCTTAGAAAACAGTGATAAACAGAAAGTCTGGCTCGGTCAAATGTCAAATCTGCCCACTTGTGTATATATGTAACAACTAAAACGTATATATTGTTGATTTAATCTGCAGTCAAACCAAACTTTACATGCTAAGCTAACTAGCACCTGAGAATAGCTTATGAGGAGAGACTTGATAGTAGTATCAATATTCTTAGTTGCGGTCAAATGTATATATAGTACTTTACATCAATAATCCAATTAATGAGTTTCTCACCACCTTATTACAAAAAAAAGTGTTCTACTCTTCATTCCATGTCTGTCCTTTTTCTCAACTTTCCATTTCCAACCCACTCCCCTTGTCACACATTCACAATTAACTAATACAAACATATCTGGTAAGATAACTCAACGTACACTAGAAAGTTCTCATCCAATGCATGAAGCATTGGTTTGCACTACCCTACAGCAAGATATATCCCTACCATACCCTCTGTTTTGCAGCTGACCCTGACCTCTGACCTTTCTGTGTGAGAGGAGAAGGAAAAACAAACTGTTTTAAACTGAGCCAGCAACACAGCGGGTTCCTTCCTATGACTTTTTCCTGTTAATTAAACCAGATGAAATTCACACAGCGGTCACCTTTCAAGAAACCGCTCATAATCCACCTGCTGACATTAGAGGGGTGACTCTTTAACCTAGTGACGCATTAAAATAACATTAGGTTGTAATAATTATCTTGGATTTCTAATGCCTGAGAAAAGTCAATGAGCTGTTGACGAAGTAAAAGTAAATCTCAAAAGCACAAGAACAAGACTGAACATTAACCAGCTGCAGAGTTCGTGTTGAGGTTAAATCTACCCAAAGAACCAAAGTAAGAACAAGTAGGTCTATAAATAGAACATCTCCATTTGCCCAATGTAGGATAACGTGTAATGACTCACTGGGAAGGATAAGAAAAATACCAGCTATCGCGTCACGTTGAGACCTCTATTAACAAACTACAGCTATACAAACTCACCTTTAATGAAAACAGATAGTTCATCACATCAAACACACACGTGCTGCTGCAGCCTTAATACAACAAGATAGCTATATTTGCTTTTCCAATGTCAAAAGTGAAAAATCCGGAGACGTCCGTCACATTTATGGAAGACAACCTGTTTCCCATTTCAGTTAGCCCTCGTCACGTGACCAGGGCAGATCTCCAGGGTAGGAAGAAGACATTACTCAGTTTCACAATGTTAGCCCTTAAAAATCCAAACAGGATTATCTGAACCCTCCCTAACCACACACACACACATTGTAAAGGAGATAATAATTAACTTGGTAGAGTCGGAGCCGAGAGAACACCCAATAACTGCCGAGGCACTGTCATACAGCAAACATTTGTATCTTTCGTAAGCTTCTTGGTCATCAGGCTACACACTGGTGAGTCTTATTACAGACAAGTCATATTGTAATCCCCTGCTTTAATGTTTTATGGCAGTCAACTGTCCTACTGGCTATAAACGGCAGTAAAGATATGCTGATTCTGAAAAGGCTTCGGCAAGAACATAAAAGAACAAGTTGGTCAAATTGAAAGTCAATGTTTTTTGCAATGTTAACTTACCATTTTTATACTTTAACTAAGGGGTATTCAGAATCATTCTGGGTGTGATAGAACACAGCATCTTAACAAAACTTCACACTGCTGATGCAAAAGTTTGTTAGATTATAAAGCACTTTGAATGTTCTACTTCTTTTACTATATTTCAGTTACTGCAAAGTCAAACTTTTATTTAATAAGTGATGTCATTTATGAACAGGTAATGGAAGACTGTTCTCTTCCCTGCTCCTTTTCAATCATGGAAAATGTATTATGTTGTATATTGTAGCTTGTATTTTATGTGGCATTTAGTGTTGGAATTATTGTAAACATTTATTAAGGTAACTCAGTTAAATGTGTAGCTTTAGTATGGGGTCATTTCAGTATGAGGTAATTTGTTGTAATAAAATTAATATTTAGGGAAATAAAACAATTGAGAAAAGAAATCTTAGAAATACATTTTAATCGAATATGAGCGGCCTCTGTCTCTCTGCACCTCCTTCATGGATCAGTGTCATATATTCACTTCCACCTCCGGAATACTCAGCTGTTTTCTCTGTACAGCTGGGGTTTCAAACGCAGATAGAACTTGTTTATGTCCAGGCTACATGCAGGTAGAAGCAGTCTTTGTCAGCATGAGCACACATTTGTGCAATACTGGAAAGGAAGCACTGACAAAAAAAACGCAGAGCTAAGGGAAATCAGGCACTTCCTATGTCGATGTTGCAATAAAGAACAAAGCTCTGATCAGTTTGAATAGGATTTCTTCTTTCAGTAAGAAGTTATCTCTCTCAAGTGTACAATAAAAAGTCAACTTAATCAGAAGTCTGTCTGATCAGATTTGGCCTCTATGAAAATCTCTTCTTTTGCTCAAACTTCTCTAAAAACATCATTATTTCCACTCACCTACACATTCAACCCACAGCATAGTAAACTCCAGCTTTGGTCTGTTGACAGACATTTCTGAGAAACTTAGAAATCCTTACCTCAAGCAAAAGAATATGTACACTAGTAAATAAATTCTATCCTTTTGAATCCTGGAATGCAATCAAACGTAATGTTTCCTGGAATTCACTAACCATTGCAAACTGATGATATCCAACAATATGTGGCTATTCATGAGAGGATTTCCCCTATAAGCTTGCGATATTCTCTGCTGCAGCATCTTAATCATCCCAAAATGAACTAGTTGAGAACCCTTGAGTTGAGGGATGCAGCTTACTTTGGCTGCTGACCAAATGCCCCGGGGCAGCATGATTATCACATCAATCCCACCAGCAGCCGGGCAATTATGTTTTTCATTATATGCCAATATTATTTTTGCTTTTGAATACTGGCAACCCATCCACTTACATAAAAGAGGAAGGAAACTGTTTCAGTTGTGGAACCGTTCACATTCTCTGGTACTCTAATGAAAAGGGAAATTCACTGCAGATCTGAAGTGTTTTTGAACTATTTTGAACATTTATATTTTTCCATTCAGAAGTACTGCACGTTGCCAGGAAATTGGCTCTAGCATGTGACTTGATGTGTGCACACATGGTTTTGGAGGGAACAGCACTGTCCAAAATATACACTGTGATGCCAGAGAAGTCTTTTGGAGCTGATGCAGCATACATCCAGCACAGGGAGAATATGAAGTTGAGGAAAGTTTTACATTCAATGGCTAAAGTCGCACGGATGAAGAGACTTAATCTATGACTAACCTTTTATCACATCATTAACAGACTTATCTATTATTTTTGCCAAATTAGTCCACTTATTTGTCAAATACATACAATGGGAAACGTGTCGTGTGGCGAGTTAGCTAGCTAGCAAAGGTACTTTGAAAATGGGAGCCAACATGCTGTATGCAAACTTTGGGTGTCAAGTAAAGAAGTACTTTAGAAAATAAAGGAGGTCAATAAAGAATAATTAGACAGTCAATGGAAGGCTACCATGTGATGCAAGTTTGTAATTGTATTCTAATTAATGGGATGCTGGCAAATGATCTGTGCATGTGATAGATGAGCATGCTTCTGAATGCAGTGCATAGTTACAATACAATGAAATTGGCATACCTTTAACCAAAATAAGCCATACAACCTAGTATTCCTTTGTGTGTCTATTTGCCCATCAAATAGGTTCCCTAAAAGAAGATATTTTTATATTAGATTGTGCAAGATTCCCAAGCTTAACTTTCCTTGGAAATTAACCGCACATTTACAAACCTTTTTACAACCCTTCTCATGTGTTTTATCATGTGGAGGCTGACCTGGCGGGGGTAGACTGAGGCCTTTCTGTGTGCGGTCGTGTGGACTTACAGTGTGAATAACCGACGACACGGCATCTGTGATGTGGTTGGGGTTGCTCATGGCTCCACAGAGGAGTCGCTGCTGGAGAGGCTCTGGATAAGATGGTTTGGATCGGTGCGGCTTTAGCCCTTCTCTTTCTCACTGGGACTCAGACAGCTTTTGGGCAGCATAACCTGGAGACAGAAACAGATCCGGGGGTTAGTCTGAGAAAGCTGGAGATTTATAACACGAGGCAAACAGGCGCTGGAAGACTCTAGCTGTAAGGCAGTAACCCTGAATATGAAGTGCAATCAGAAAGTATAATACCAGTGTTTTGTTTTTATTTGTTTTGGCTCTTTACTCCAGCACATTTGATTTAAAACAAGGAATATGAAGTGATGATTTTTTATTCATTAAATAGGATGAGCAGCGCACGATATGAAGCATTTACTAAACAACTAAGTGAAAATTGCTAAAGCACAGACTTGGCGGGCATCACCAGGAAATACTGTATATGTACTTAAGTATGTGCTGATATCTAGGAGTCAGACACCAGTTCTCTGCTAAGAATGTAACAAGTGACGAGTTCCCCGCCTTGCTTGCAGCTCTGTGAGGCTTCATATAGACACAGCATTGCATTTGAGCATGCTAACATACTCACAATGACCATGTTAGGATGCACTTTAACCCCATAAAGTGCTGACTTGTTTGGGATGTGCTAAAGTGCAAAGCCAACAGAAGAAAAAGCAACACGCTTCACTGGAGATCTACACTAAGGAATGATCAACAGTTTCAGGATTTCCTGGAAGCCCTTAAAGTACCTTGGAGTGCCCAGAGCCACTTTAGAAACACAGATGGCCTAAACTGGATGTTGTTTTAAGAACTACATTATACGTGAGGAATACTAATATGCCTTTAGAAACAACGACACCCTGTCTAATTTACTTTCTATCATACTTGATTTTAAGCACTGTAGCACTTTCTCGCTATCATCCAAGGTTATTAACCATTAGTCAGATAAGAGCCTGATAACACAGTGCTACTGAGCAGAGGAGGTCTTGATAAGCGGCGGCACGTGCCTCTGCCAACCTCCACCTCTGTCACTCTCGAGTCCCTGGGTGTTTCTCAATCGCGAGTAAAGCTGCTTCAGAGCCACTATTTCAAACATACTACGTCATCGAGTGCCGCCGAAGTACTGTTCCAATCTCCAGTATACTTGGAAATCTACCGAGCCCGCCGTACTCCGTTTGGAGAAATATCGAGTGTGCACATGAGTAGACTTCGCGGTCTTAAAATCCCCACAATGCTTTGCGCACGGACCAATTTCCCCAAATCTGTGGCGGAAGATGTAAGGCGGGGCCTCTCATATGACGCACACCTGCACACTTGCTAGCGTGTTCCTCTCTTTGTTTTCCGAATGTCAGGAAGTATTCTTGACTCGCTTCTGAAGCAAGATGCTCGGCAGACATGTGCTACCAAGCAAGCGTACTCGCGATTGAGAAACACCCCCTGTATAGGACATACGAACACAGGAATCCTCAAAGATGATCAGAATTCAGTTGGCAATATGTTAACAAGGATTCAATGCAAGAGGACACTTAAGTTCAGAAGAAGTTTGCTGTCGGAGAGAATTATTTTCAAATGTATTCATCGTTTCAGCAATATATGCTGGTTTACTTTGTACTCTGCAATAGAAAATTGAATATTTTTTGGGTTTCAGCCAGCTGGTAGATCAAACAAGACATGTCAAGTCACCTTGGGTTTTAGTTAATGTAACAAGCATTCTTTTTTATCTCTTTTTTACGCTCAAAATGAAATGGATCATTCAAGAAGATTGTTACTTGCAGCCCTACTGCTTTATTGTAAGGATCCAAGATACAACAAATGGAGTGTGTACATTTGTAGTCCAAATGACAGTAAGAATGTTTTTTTATATATACTGTATATGATACATCTTTATATACTGCATTTTTATCAGAACACCGGTTTACTTCAACGTAAAGAAGTAGAGGGCCCACTATTGGTCCACTTTTCAGTGTCACAGTTGGAAATCATTTTCTGGTTGGCCGACAGCAGCTATCAAAGAAACGATAAGCCTCCCTGCTGCCTGACGACAATCGTATCAATGACCTTGTTGACGGAGAGGGATTTCTGAGAGGTATATTTCATTAAAACACAATCAACGACGAGAGATTAAGTGCAGTGCAGAATGTTTTAGGTGCTGGGCAGTGTGAATGTGTATTACAAAGCAGATTCAAGAAAGACATCACCTGCCAAAGAGACACTGAAACTGAAACACTGCGCAGACTACACAATGTTTTGGCAGCGCTCTTCATCTGCTGTGCCAATGGTAATCACTTCACAAAATGGTAATTACATACTATCGGCTGTTCAATTCAGAAAAACAACTTTAACTTGTTTGAGACCTTGTAATCCGTGCAGTAGTGGCGATAAAGGAGTCTAGTGGTGTTAGCTCGGGTGTGTTTGAAGATTACTTTCTCAGTAAACCTAGACCCCACCACTTTGGAAGAGGCAGGGCTGGCTACACAGGGATAAAGTTACAGAACCCTGGGATCCTGGGCAAAAAGCATGGGAACCAGCTTATCTACCTCAGGGCATGGCTGGAATAATACAGATAACAATAATGATCAGATGAAGAAAACAATATTGGAAACTACAATTGTCTAGGATTAAAAACCATCTAAATGTTCATGTCTGCGATCAGGTAGTCACATGACAGAAAAAAAGGAACCCTTATGTAATACCTGAAGGACACAATGGACATGGATGAATGCTGACAGTGCAGGAGGAAGTGAGGACAAGATACTCTGCTTCCCCTGGAAGAAGTTCATCATGTCTTCCCAGAGTGATCCAGAAGCCCAGTACCTCTCAAACCTTTCTCAAAGAAGACCAGTGTAGCTTTCCCCCCCCCCCCCCCCATGCTAGATTTAGTCACAGTAAATATGTGCATGTAGGGCTTCTGGAAAACTATCCGTCTGGGAGGAAGTAAGAATGAAAACAGGAAGAAGGTAAGGAGGCGCTGTAAACGTATCAAATAAATAGAAATCGGGCAATTTTGGATAATTTTAGAGTAAATAATGTCTGCCTTTAGAAACTGAAAACCCATTTGTATGGTTGGACTGGATCAAAGATAAACTAGGTTAAAACAAAGTGTCTGAAGTCTACTAGGCAACATAATAGGTTAACTTGACTTGACAGGCACCGTTACAAGCTGTCACTGTCATCTCCATCTGTCCCTCCCACAAAGAGCAGCATTTACAATCAGACCACATGTGTGGAGATGCTACCTTTGACCAAAGAAACTGTCATCTACAGGGAGTAGAAACCGAAATACAGCCGTCTCTTTTCCATTTGAACAAAAAATGCATGTAAGTCTTAAATGTTGCAAATTTAGATGATCAGTTATGATTTTAAAAAAAAACAATTTTAAAGGATGCCCTTTAGAGACTAGACGAAAAAGTCCTCCTCACATTTTCTATCTGTCAAGTCATTTGAATGACTTGACAGCTGATAACGAGTAACCGGCTATTTATGGTTTCTAAAATAACATTGCAATGGTTCTGAGGAACTAACATTTCCTGCCTCTTAACTTCAAAGTGAAAGTGATCAGTCAGGCGCATGACTGTTTTTTGTGGTCAGTATTTAAATCGATGATATGCACTTGGTGGTGACTCATCCCTCCCACAGAGTGCAAATATACTAACAAAGTCACTTTGGTATGTTGTACATTTCCGTTATTGATAGAAATGCCCTGCCCACCTGAAACATTTTGAATTTCCCTGACATCCTCATATTCAAAATATATGACATTTGACATTTTGAGATGCTTTTCTGGTACTCTAAACTCAATGGATTTATTTCAAAATGTGAGGGCTTTTTTTGTTATACTCTCCAAGACATTTCTTTGAGAAAGGAAAGGAGCAATGATATATTCAGAAGGGAGCACACTTACTATCTAAAAGCATATTGAAGATCTGCCAATTTTGTTCTGTAACATCTTTAACTATACTGTCATGTGACCTTTGAGGTTAGGAGGGACAAAAGGTTAAACATTCTTCTCCTCCTTATAATGACATAAAGGGAAAGGAGTGAGACAAGTCAGACGGCGGGACAGAGGTTACGAGCCAGACTCGAACTCACGTCACAAGCCAACATTCGTCTTAACCCAGTGATCCGCCAGAACACCCGGCCGGGCCCAGCTTCAATCGGGAAGCTTGGCACGCGAGTGACGACCACAGACTGCATGCTCATCTACAAACTCTATCAAGAGAGGCATAATTAAAGAACAGTTTTATAAAATACACAAACTGGCAATAAAAAGCCCTGTCCAGAAATAGATGCTTGATAACAGTGTCCAAACATCAACCAACAGAGGCCTGTACTTATAACAGCAGGACAGAGACAGGGAGCAAAGGACCGGTTTAAGGTTTCATTAAGAACTGCGCAAACAAGAAACAAGAACACTTTGTTATTCTTTGTTCCCTTTTCACAGACCATACATGTTTTAGGAAGTTATTTTCTTGAAAAATACTGATTGTGTGTGATAGCATCAAGTGACATGAAGATAGTTCCTGACCTTAATGTTTTATCTAACACAATAACATGCTTTAACATTCCGGACACTTCGATGAATTGACATAATCGGAAGCATTATCACATGTTTAAGACGCATGCAAGTTCTGTTGAAGAAAAACATGCAGTTGATAAATGGAGAGGGTTTTAAGAAAACCAAAAGAAAAAACACTTGAGAAGTAAGGTCTGTTGTTCGTAGCTATGAAATGGTGAACTCTGATTGGACCAAGGTATTTAAAGGGCCATCGCTTTACAATAATCATGTCCTTTAAAGGCTCTAAGTTAGGATTTACAAAAGCGCTTTTCTCCTACTGAAACTCAAGTGGCTTGTTTAAGGTCTTTGTTGTGTAACCTGTTGAACTAAATAGGATTTGTTTAGAGTTGTGTGCTATGGTTGTTCAAGCCTGAGACACTCACATGAAATATCTTGTTAGCTTCGATTAGACCTAACAAACAACGGTTATTGTTATCTAACTGAGAACATACCCATATAAACAACAAATCAATAAATAAGAAAAATAAGAAAAAAGCAGTGTGAAGAGACATTCTAACAAACATGTTTTAAAACATAACAAATGGTAAAGGAATACAAAATGTATCCATATTTGTACCATACCTTTGTGTGCTCACAGCAGAGAAGCCACCGTAGACATGGTAGTGCAAATCTGAACTCTGTGAAGTGAGACCCGGGGCTGGTCAGAGTGTAGGGAACAGACAATCAGCGGGAGAAAGGAGAGATAGGGAGACAAAAGAAAGAAGAGTTAGAGATGAGGATTGCGCTCCAGCTTCTGGAGTGCTCTCTCAGACAGACATGCATGCACTGATAGCAGCAGCCTTCCTCCTCAGGATTATGTTTCCTCCTCTAGCCTGCTGACAAGTAGCCATGTGACTCCAGGACCCATTCAACACTGAGTCAGAGGCTGCTGCTCAGACACACACATCAATCGCCTGTCACACACACACACACACACACACACACACACACACACACACACACACACACACACACGACCTGGAAATTCAACCCCTATGATCAATATCTGTCTATATCAGTGGATTTGCATGATTAAGACCTATATTACCCATCTGTTTGGGTTTTGACCTCTTTAAACAAAGCAATGTCTACTTTATATAGTTAGAAATGCAATGTGGAGTGGAGTGCTTTTTCTTACTTTAGTTTAATTCTATTAAAAGTCATGAAATAGTGCAACTATCCAGGTATTCACTAAATATGCAAGTTTTAAAAAATTGGCACATCACAGAACTTTTTTCTGCTTTCACCATCTTCAAATATTGCGCCATCTCTATCTTTGTTATATGGAACCATAAGTGAATTTTGAAATGTTACAATTCACTTTAATGGACTAAAACACACTATGAAAGAGTTAAAGTTCCAAGACGAAAACAATAAAATACAATTATAGTGACCTCTCAATCCCAAGCAATGCCGTAAATCTTACACTGCTCTATCATCTATGGTTCTCTAATGGTGCAGTTATTTACAAAATGAACATGCATTACTGAAGAACACCTCAAACTATGGTTTGAGACCAAACATCTTGTCAGGTCAAAGTTTACTGAGGTAGTAAAGCAAGAAAGAAGTTGGGTCATTTTCTTCTATACAATTGGACTTTTTTTATTATAAAATACTGCAGAAAAAACAATGGGACAGTTAATGCAGCTGTGCCCCACGTCATTGTTAACCAAAGGTGACTTAAAATAACATCTCTGAGGACAAAATGTCTTATTTTGGTAAATGCCTTTTGCTTCGACTCGTCTCTCCTTATGCCTCTTCATCGTCCTCCCTTGCTCATAGGGAGGCGAGGTGGGAGGGACTAAGACGCGTGAAGAGAAGGCGGGGAAATGAATAGAGGATGTAGAAACTGGGAAATGGGGAAGGCCCATTGTTTCCCCTGTGGAAACACTTTATCTACTCTGGAAAGGTCTATTACAATATCTTTCTCAATCTGCAACAATGACATAAATAAAGTCGTGACACAGAGACAATAGGTGCAATTCAGAGTAAAGATCTGCACACGTCCAGCTAGGGTAATTATATTTCCATCTGAAAGAGATCTTTGTCAGGAATTGCCCAATGACAGAGACAATAGGTGACCAGATAGTAAAGGAGTGCCACAAAAGCTTGGTTTACAACCACATGCAAGCACATCTCTCATTCCTTAAAATAAAAACTGCAAAATGAGTGAGTCATTATGAAGTGGCTTTCTTCAGAACATTGAGCAACTTGGTTTCTCATCAAGGGCATTGCAACTTTATCAGGAAGCTTGTGGCATGTGTAATATACAATAAGTCATCTGTATTCTGAAATAAGCAAAGCAAAACGATGAATGGCATAATCTAATTTATAAATAAAACTCGGCTTTAGAACAGCATGTTTTTGGGCATGTTTACACATTTGCATCAGATGATTATTATTTAATAATATGTGGGCATGAAATGAGTGGGAAAGCAATGACATGCTGCCTAATATGCGTTGAATTATTAACTGGTATGTCTTTTGATATAATTGTGAATGCTGGAATATCCACACAGAACTCACCTTGACGTTCTGCTTGTACTATTAAAATATTTTAGATTTGGGGTACATTTGACTTCATGTACACCCTTGCACGCCGAAGGTTCTTATGGCGCAGTTCCACTGCAGCGCGGAGCTCGCTTTAAGCGTGCCGTGTCGTGCCGTCCCCTTTTTTGGTTGTGCTTCCACTAGGCCTAGTTCCGGCGCGGCACGGCGCGGGGCCACTTTTTCACCTCTTTTCTGGCCCTAGAAAATTGTGGTTCTATCGGGGCCAACAAACAGGGCTGAGTCGGGCTGAGTATGCTAAACTAGAGAGAGGAGCGCTGGCAAGAGGGCTAGAACTACAACAAGATGGACATATTTGACCGTGATTTAATTGTAATACACGTTTCAAAATGATGCCGAAGTAACAACATACTGATACCGGTTAGTAAAAACCATGAATTAATGCTTTGTCAAGTCTGCAGACAGACGGCAGGCGAAGAACCTTTTAAAATGCGTGTTTTTCTAGATGGAGATTGGCTAAGCTAACGCAGTATATGCTCTGACCGTCCACACTCACAACAACGGCCTATACAGACATAAATAAAGCAGCCAGCGACTGTATTCACCATGACACAGGCAGTCTGTGGTGTGTACTTGTTTAACTTTTGTCGAGTTTCTGAACATATATAAGGAGCTGTGAGCTCTGAGTGCTAACAGCTAACGGCTGTGTTGTGTTTCTGGAGTTCTCAATGAAGATGACGTCACGGCTCCGCCTACACTGCGTTACTATAGTAACTACCCCAGTTCCTAAACTGTAATGGAAGCGCAGCATGAAGTGAGTCGGCCCTGTTAAGGCCCAACGCGGCCAAGCCGTACCGAGCCGTACCGAGTGTGGCCGAGGCCGACCATGTAGTGGAAATGCGCCATTAGAGTATTTGGCAATGGAAAAAAAAACTTCATGTTATGGAGTAATCAAGACTATTACACAGTTAATCCCACCTAAAGTCATTCAAGCTGCCAGATTAATTGTGTTTTTCACGCGAACAAAGAAAAGTCCTGTGATCTAAACAAGTTGCTTACGCATTCGCCAAATAACCAAGCGTCGCATTCCACATCAGCTTATACTGTATGAGTCTTTGGGCTAAAGAAACACCCAACCTCAGGAGGAACCTGAGTGTGTGTGTGCATGTGTGTGTGAGTTATAACTGTTTGTCCCCAGAGTGAGGGATCACTGTGAAGTCACATGCATGTCTTGCGGGGAAAAGAAACGCAGTCAGAGCCACACGCAGCTAAAGTTGAAGTCCACTTCAAAGTCTGGGGCTTTCCTCAATCCCAACATTGTGCTAATAATATAATTATCCACTTCGGTCAACCATTTTAAGAGCTGTGACTTCATGCGTGCAAGGGCAATTGACAACTTTTCTTAACCATGACCAACAAATGATGCGCTTATTACACAACACAACCACAGAATACAAATATTGTCCTTTTGTTGCTGTGACACTTTAAATGAGGCTATTGACCCAGAATTTCATTTATGGTGGTTAAATCTGGTGGTATTAAGTAATATGTGCTACATGCAAACCATCTCCTGCAAATGTCTAAACATGTTTGTTCTGCTTAAAGAAAATATGATAAAGATACCATTTAGCACTTTAAAATGATTAAATCCCACCTTCAGTTTTTCTAGCTTTTATATAAAGTGGTAACACAACTCGGAAACTCTCCCACCAGCTTCCTGTTATTCTTCTCTCCCTTCAAGTCTTAAACTAGCCAGCCTAAAAACACATTAGAGTGGTCAACCCAGGACAAAGTGTTTATGTTAAAGAGAACGGGTTCCATAATAACAGCAGCCCATTACAAACAAAATATTTGCAGCCTAATTTCAAACTTCCAAAACTTGAATTGACACTCACCAGAACACTGCTCAGTGCAGCTTGGCATAACAAAGAGTGACTTTAAGCTGTATACAACTGATAGCTAGCCTGTTTGTGGATCTCTATGGGGACTTGGCAGTGTGTATATTTTGTTGATGGCTGTGCCTGAGTGTTTTAGCCTGAAATAGCTCAGTAGTTTAGAAGGCACCCATCCACCTCCTCTTCAGACGTCTAGCTCCCTACTCTGCCCCACTAACTCAGGGTTTGGCAGGGTCTAGCCCTTCAGCATGGCTGTGCTAAGTTATGTGCACACAGTCGCTGGAAAACATGAAGTCTAACAGAGCTAACAGCTGCACTCAGTCTATGTATGTCCCATCTTTATCTCCCTCTTTGTCCCATTGGAGGCTCCAGAAAAGCAGCGGCTGTGTTGCAGCTAAGACAGCACCTGTCATTCGGGTGAAGAGGGATTGAAGAGGAAACTAAATCCTTGCAGCTTACATAATGCCGGCCCATTGTCCTCTACTCTAGAAAAGGAGAAGCAATCATCACTCAAGTATTTTTATATCTTAGAGAGGGCTAGAGTGTTGTGTAGGAGACCAGTACACATTCTGAAATGGAAACCAATGTCCTGTGGAAACATTTTACCGCCCGCAGACAAGAAATGTCCTTAAGCTCGAACTCGGAATAACAAGCTTTATTCGAGAGTTTGAATTTGAAGGGAGCCAGAAGAGTTATTAAAGGGCTAAACGTGCAAGTCTTCAAAGAGCTCAAGTAATATATTAATAATGCAACACAATCCCATATCAGTGAAATTGTAATAAAAAAACTGGATTGGCACTGAGACTCGTTGTATTGGTTCTATTACTGTAAAAGCCAATAAATAAAATGTCTGCACATGCCCATGGTATTAATGAGAGACTGAGGCCGATACAATGTAAAAAAGGGAATAATAAATAGTTGGCCATAGCTTACCATATACGCTAAACATTACAGTGCTGGGAAATGGACAAACATACTGGAAAGTAAGACCTGTTGTTATTTACAGTCAGCTACAGTCTTGTCCAGCTCCAGAAGTGGGTGTGGTACTTTGTTGGCAAACTGCATCCGGGGCAGCTCAGGTTGCACCAGCTACACAAAAGATAAAGCCACATTCTTACAGAAACATGGTAATTGTGCAGCTTTGACCCAGTGCAATTGTAATAACTGGATTTACTCTCATGAGACTCAGACTGGGATGGGAATAAAATATCTTGTGGGCTCCCAGACCCAAAACATCTCATACTACGGTTCAAATGCAAATCAGCCATGTATCCATTTGCTGGGAAATGATGTACTGTGATTTGGTGTTAGTGGTGAACTACACAAACATAAAAGCTTTGCTAGAAAATATTGAGAATTACACAGCGAAGAAGGAAGTGGGAAGAGTGGCAGAACGCCTGTCTGGTGAATAATGAATGCTCCAAAAACTACACATTTCAGACAGCTAAATAGAGTTCAATGTGAAAGGATGGTATCCCAAACTATGCACGGTCCAAGATGCACTGTCTTTTAGGCCTGATGTTACTAAACGTTGGGACTGTTTATCTGAAGAGGAGCATGTGAAATAAACATGAAGAGTCAACAGGCCATGTTAAAAAAAACTGAAAAACTTATTATCAACTCCTTTCCATCCCTTGTCCTCAGCATGACCAAGCAATTCACAACAATGTGGAGACACTTTCTGCTTTGAAATGTTTTTTCCCTCCAGGAAAACACACCATTGTTGTCACAAATCAGTTTACGAAAAGTATGTTTGACATATTGCACTGAGGCGAAGGAAAACAAATAAAGGCAGGGACTGTGATCACGCAGATAAGATGGATCTATCTGATGTGCTCAAGCACCGCGCAGGATTAGAGGGCAAAAGGAAGCCGCTGTGGAATTTGAGAGTTTAGATCGAACAAGGTCAGATTCACCAAGACAAACATTTTAGATTCCGCTCTGTACGAGACCTTGAAGCGCTCAAGTTTTGCGAGATAAAAATGTCACAGTGGTTGATTTACTTTGGTTTAATAATATCCAGGAAGAGATAATCGTGTCTAGGATTTACATCAAAGTAAATCATCCCCTCAAATGACCTGCAGTGCACATTGAGACGTATTATTATAGATATTGATGAGTCAGCAGAGGAGGGACATCCTTCCTCCATCCTGCCAGAGTGTCCCGACATCTATTAGCCATGTGACAGAAACAATTGTGGGACAATGACAATGCATTGACCAAGAGAGGGGTTTCAAATGGGTGCATGGCAAACATATTTACTGATATTTCATACATTTTATAATTAATAATAGTAGCATAAGTAGCCACGTTTTTTATTTGTATTAGTTTATGTTGTATAAATGAAGAGGCTTGTCAAACCAGGAATAGCGCACATTAAACTACTAATAAAACAAACTTTGGCTCAGTTCCAGTAATCATTTTACAGCAGTAATTCATGTTATTAGTTTCACCTGGGTTTGACAAGTGAAAATAAATGCTGTTTAAACACGACAGAAAAACAATGAATATTTGATGGGTACAGTTTTATAGATAAGATTAGTTACCTTGAATATTTGTATACCTTAAATACTTTAACTTTTAAAGGATACAAATAACCAGAGGTGGGAAGTAACGAAGTAGAAATACTTTGTTACTGTACTTATATTTTTCAGGTATCTGTACTTTACTCAAGTGTTTATTTTTCTGACGACTTCTTACTTTTACTCCCTACATTTTAACACAAATATCTGTACTTTCTACTTCTTACATTTTCAAAACAGGCTCGTTACTTTCGTTATATTATATTAATATTATATTATATTAATATGATGTAAGGTTCAGTTAGCTTTTCACAAAAACAGCCAGTTTAAAAGTTACTTTTTACTTTTTACTTTTTACTGCGAGTACATTTCAGAGACTGTACTTTTTTACTTAAGTAAAAAGTTGAATCAGTACTTCTACTTATACGAAAGTCTTTTTTTACACAACTATCTGTACTTCTACTTAAGTAAAGAGAGTGTGTACTTTTGCCACCTCTGCAAATAACATGAATAGCAACTTGTCCAGGCTGTTGTAAGTTATTTTAACCATTTGTCATGTGGAAAACTTTTGTAGCATTATGCCTTGTTATGCTACCTCATTAGTGTGCTCCACTTTTATCTCTAAATCTACGGTACAATAGAAACACAGAACAAAATCCTTGAATAGAGGTCAAAGGGATGAAACGCAGGGTTTGAGAATGTTGGGAATCAATGGTTGTCATTGAGATAGATATAATATTGTGCTGATATTTGGTAACTTGCTAAAATTCCCACCATTCCTGCCACTCAAATGTGAGATGCTGCTATTTTTCCAGCTGTAAATGTAAATTGAATATGTTTAGGTTTAGAACAAATACAACAAGCTATTTTGAGATGTCCCCCTGACCTCTGGGATCATGCAACAATACGTTATGACATCATAAAGAAAAGCGGTTAGTAGTTAATGAAACAGTAGTTAGTTGCAGTACTATTGTCACTTTTCATACACTTTCGGGGCTATATACAGGTAACCATATTATCAATTTACAGTTTTATCTAAAACTTGCCAATGAGAGCTCTTTATAAATGTCACCCTATGCTCTGAGAAACTGAAGACATGACATGCTGCTTTTCTTAACAGTGAGCAATAACTGAATACATTATAAATACAAGAGTAAAGCTATCTTTACTTTGCTTTGTGAAGACTTGTTCTGTTAAAAAGACACATTATGTGGACAAAATGTCAACTCTCCCCAAGCCAACTCGTCGTCATCATGCATCACATTTCAACACTCCAGCGTACTGTCAGGAGGAGTGACCGCTAGCTTGCTAGGATGAGGAACTCCTCTAACAGTACCGTTAACACTCACAAGTCTGGAAAGAGGCTTAAACCACGAAATAACTGTAATTCCGGGCACATTTCAGGACTTTCGCCCCTTGTTTACCTGGTTAAAAAGCCGACAGACAAAGGGAAGTCATCCACCAGCAGCAGCAACAGCAGCGGTGGACACTCTCATGCATGTGTGGCAGTTAGTGGATGTCAATGCCGCGCCTCTTCACAGGAAAATTAGTCAACAGTTAAGACCGGTTCATGAGTTTCAAATAATGATAGAACAAAGCAAAAAAAGCGAATTTACAAAGCGAAAGCCGACTTAGTCGTTCGCTTACACATTCCGGTGTATTTCTCACCGGTGCCTAGTACTCACCTCAAACTCTCTCTGAATGACTTGCTCAACTGGCGTCCACTTGCGTTAAATTGCCAAAAATAAAATCACTTTCACTTCCGGTAGAGTATACAAATTAAAACCCTTCGTGACGAGCATCTGTGAATGTGAGCATTTATTATGGTAAATACATGATTTTACATTAACTAAAGAGCTTTTTATAAATGCAGGATAACAAAACATTCGATACAAGCATCACACGGTCATAAGCCTTTTTATAACGGCACTTCGCTCCTTTATTTTGAAATCCTTCTTAATGGAATTCCGGTGTAATTGTCTAAATTATTTTAGCTTGTCGCCATTTTCTCTAGATAAAAATTGTTGCGCGTGCGTATATGATGATTCATATTTCTGATGACGGCTTGGGCCTGAGGGCATGTATGTATGAAGAGAGCACCTTACCGTTATTATTCTCAGAAAGCAACCCACAACATAAACATTGAAAAACAATAAATATCAACTTAACCTTTGGAGTCGTTTTGCCATAATACTAGAAACGTTACCTAGCCAAAATTAAAAAAATGTAGGACTCATTTACAGTGTAAGTTTACTCAATGACTACTATAGCTATTGAAAGGTATTGAAATGTACCACCTGACAATGTTTCTTAATTATCATCATCATAAACTTACGAAATCTTATTTAAATACAAACAATCCCTTTAAAAAAACAAAACAATGATTTGACACCAAAGATGCATTGACATCCACCCATATCCAGAAAAATACATCCAGTAGTTACTTCAAGCTTTTCATTGTTTCACACTATCTTCAGCAGATGGAATTTGCCCACTTGTCATGAAACAAAAAAGTAGAACAACATATTCTCGGCCCAAATCCTCAAACTGCGCTTAAGGCTTGATTATTGTCAACTGGTTTGCGTGAATGTAATAATAACACATTTGTTTGAGTGCATGTACCAATAAAGCTAAGTGGCATAAGAGCCCTAGGGCTCAGTACAGTAGCTCCAGTTTTACCTGATCTTGAAGAAAGGAGGGTCAAACTGACAATTACTTGCACACCTGCCCCTCATTTCCTCTAATTAGTCACCTATATACACTAGTCCATTATCACACTCTTTGCCAGATGTCAGATCAGTCATTGTGATTCATAGCCATAGTGGTACTGCCTTTGTTTACTCTAGCTACTCTGGGTAGTATCTGCAAATGATCTCAGGCTGTTAGAGTTTTTGATCTGCCTTTTTAGTCATAACTACCTGTTGCTATACCTAAGTAAAAAGCTTGCTTTGCCTGTGTGTCCTGCCTTTTGTGCCCACCATAACTTATAACTAAATGAACACACACATGCACAGGTAGCAGTATTCTTTTTAAATGGTCAATCCTTCATTTCCTACTTTATTTAATTTAAATGTTTTAGAAAGGTTAGATTTATCATACCTTCCTTGTATAGGTTGTAGTCATTTATTTTATGAAACTATATTGAATAAACTTAATAAAGTACTTTAGTTAGAGTCCCACATTCCTTTAATCTATCGGACAATTTTAACCATCTGTTTGAATGATTGTTATCATGTTTGTAAGTCAGATAGAATTATAAAAATGAAAGCTTACTTGACAGAAGAAAATTATTTGTTTCTAGCTTCGGTTTTCCTTTTAATATTTATCTTATTTTTTGGAGGTTCGTTGCCTGAAGTCTACTATGAACCAATACGTTTTTTAAATTTGATTAGCTGATTGCATGAATGTGCAGCTTGCATGATGCGAAGGGCATATCAATAAAAACAGAGTAAGAGCGACCCCTGCTGGTGGAGGGCTGCTACTGGAGTCAGGGGTTTTACCTGTTATATATGATTAACCTGCAATTCCTTTCTTTCTTTCTTTCTTTCTTTCTGTCTTTCTTTCTTTCTGTCGCTCAGTCTTTCGTTGTTTTTCTTTTTTATGTGGTTTAATTGTGCAATAATCTGCCCATGTCACATGTTTGGAAAATTATAGATAGTGTACTGTTAACTCCGACGTTCACCGGCAGTGTAGTGTGTCTATTCTTCGCATACATAAAATCAATATCTCCTATTATATGGAAATGTTGAACAGAGATATTTAAATTATTGTCAGGGCAGGGACTCAGGGTAGACTGGATTTGCGCACCGCTGCCTCTGTGGAGAAAACCCCTGCTCTCCGCAGTGTTGATAGGCTGGTTTCTTGTTGATGTTCTGTCAATCCCAGAGAGCTCCGTCAGTGTTGCTAAGCTAGCAGGCAGCGCTGCAGATCCATCCAGGAAGTCAACAAAGTTGCTACTTTGCATTAGCTACACTTTGATTTTCATTCGTTAACGTTAAAACAACGGCATGAGTTCTGCTGCCCCCCCGGTAAGATGCAAATTACAGAGCTGCGTTTGACATGACACTGCACTGCACATACATATTAGCTAGCTAGCTGCTTTAGCTTTTGCGTCGCCATCGTTGTGCCTCAGCTAACTGTTAGCTGCCATGCTAACGTTGTTTGTTGACAGCCCCCACTGTACCATAGACATAACAACATACTTAGCATTAGCTGTAGGTTAGCTTGTCATCTGTTGGTTAGTATACATTTGCTGAGTTGACTGTGAATTATTGCATTTACCCAGACATAGGTTAACTAAAGGCTACCAACTTTACAAGCAAACAGTAACTTAGATTCTCAGCTATAGTCACTATAAATGAAGGACAAACACAGATAAATAAATATGTTGTAGCTAATCCAGACTTTAAAAAAGTGAATCGTATTGGTAGATAGCATACATTTAAGTTAAGGTTCAAGGCAAGGTTAAAGGCAACAAATAGCAAATGTACAATGCACTAGCGTGTTGTTGATAATGAAACTGGCAAAATACACTAGTCAGACAGTGTATTTTGTTGATTAAACGGCATAAGCAATAGGTAACTATCTATAGGTAATGTAACATTAGTAAAGTATAGTAAGGTGCACATTTAAAAAAAGAAAAAGAATGATCAACGGGATATTTATTTGATTCATTCATTGAATACTGGCATTGGCAACCTCACAAACCAAACATGGCAAATAAAGCAGTTATACAACTAGTATAGACACTATAAGCAAAGTAAAAAAGTCTGTCTAAAATCTTTGTTTTAATGTGACGAAAACCTCTCTATTAACCTTTAATGAAAATGTAAGATGTTTTTATTTGTCAGTCATTGAATCAAAGTAAATGTACCCCTCTATACTAATTGTTCCTGCATCACTGCTGATTGAAAAAAAATAACTATAGTTAAATCTTTGTTAACATGTATTTTTGATTTGATTTGCTTGTTTTCTAGACTATTGGGGAGCTATTCCTCATCCTCGGTGAGATGGGGTTCTCTGAGGAGCAGATTCAGGCAGCTGTTCAGGCGGGGCATTTTTCTGTGTCTGACGCAGCTGACTGGTAAATTATGCAAGCTCTTTTCTGAAATCCCAAATATTTAGCATTTCATAAATGCCAATATCGTTCTAATTAAATGACCAGTCTTTTTAGTATAATGTTTCTGTATTCCTATCCTATGTTGACAGGCTCTTGCAGGGTCAGTATCCACGGCACAAATTGGTTAAGCATTCAGCACAGCCTGCTGAGACCGCATTTTCTGCTTTCAACCCACCAAAAGAGGCAGCAAGTACTTCTGAGACACCTACATCTCCTTCTGACAGCAGAGGTATAACACCACATTTGTTTTAAGGATAGAGGGTTCTGTATAACTTGAATCCACCATTGTTATACCCTGTATTTCTTTGTATCTAACAAATAGGTTTTGAATAAGACCGAAAATAATGCCTATTTAGTGTGCAAAATTCACTTATCTTCACTTTGACAGCGTCCCCTTCATTGGTGCTGAAACAATCACAGTCAGGCGCCCTGTCCCCTGAACCACTTCCAGTCGAGTCCCGCATCAAACCGGACAAGAGTGACTTTGAGGAGCAGCAGAGACACCGTGTTGCTCAGGAGGCCAGAACTGAGAGAAGACAAAAGAAACAGGTCAGCAATTACATAGAAAATGTTGTGTCCAAACTGTAATGTCAGGCCAGAACATCTTACCCTGTGTGTGTTTGGTGTGCAAGGAGCGCGAGTTGGTGTTGAAGCGGATAGCTGAGGATCGGAGAAGCTTGCAGGAGAAGAAGCAGACCAGTCCCGCCACAGAGACGTCTCCTCCCAGTGTTCCAGCGCAGAAACTCGGAGGAACGGTTCAAACTAATGTGGATAACAACTGCCTCCTCATGGTAAGGCATATGATAATCAATGAATGTGTAAGTTTGATGTAGATACAGTGAAATTACAGAAAATCTTGTTTTTTGCTGCAGATTCGACTCCCTTCCGGCGAGTCCATGCGTGAGCGCTTCCCAGCTGACGCTCCTCTCCGCAGCGTCGTGGAGCACATCGCCGGACGCCACCCTTCCCTATCCTCTTTTTCTCTCCTCCAAGGTTTTCCACGGAAGCGATTCGGGGAGGCGGAGCTGGCTTGTTCACTGCACTCACTCGGCCTCACACCCAACGCTGCACTGTGCATTCAGACCACTCCTCCAGAGACACCTCAGGATCCACCGAGTCCCGCAGAACCTCTATCATCCCTGCCGTCTCCTTGTGATGCGTCTCCTCAGCCACATATCCCTGTCCTGGAGGGAGCGGGAGGGCGGGACCTTGGCCTACCTCCTCCAATCCCCAACCAGGTGTGGGAAGAGGCCATGAATTACGCAGGGATACCAGGAGGGGGTCCACTGTCTGGGCCATCTCACTCCTGGGGTAAAAACTCTCATATCATTACATTTACAATCAGATTTGTATGGAGAAAATCATTTAGACTTCTGAAATAGCTCCTCACATTGCAACTTTATAGGCTCAATTATTTAAACAAATCAGAATATCGAGCAATTTCTTAAATAGCTGTTCAGTCATTCAATAATATTCCTTGCTCTGTTCAACAGGCCGCGGCCATAAGTTGGCTGCTGATGTG